AACACACACAACACACAACAACACACAACAACCACAACAACCACAACAACCACAACAACCATAACAACTACAACAACAACGACAATGACAACAATAACAACAACACACAACAACACACAACACACAACACACATACAACACACACACACAACACAACAACACACCACAACACACAACAACACACGCAACACACAACAACACAACAACACAACAACAACACACAACAACACACACAACAACACACACAACAACACAAACAACACACAACAACACACAACAACACACAACAACACACAACAACACACAACAACACACAACAACACACAACAACACACAACAACACACAACAACACCACAACAACACAACAACAACACAACAACACACAACAACACACAACAACACACAACAACACACAACAACACACAACAACACACAACAACACACAACAACACACAACAACACACAACAACACACAACAACAACCACAACAACGACCACAACGACCACAACAACCACAACAACCACAACAACCACAACAACAACAACCACAACAACCACAACAACCACAACAACAACAACAACCACAACAACCACAACAACCACAACAACCACAACAACCACAACAACCACAACAACCACAACAACCACAACAACCACAACAACAACAACAACACACAACACACAACACACAACACACAACACACAACACATAACACACAACACACAACACATAACACACACCACACAACACACAACACACAACACACCACACACCACACACCACACACCACACACAACACACAACACACAACAGACAACAGACAACACACAACAGACAACAGACAACAGACAACACACAACGCACAACACATAACAGACAACACACAACACACAACACACAAACACAACACATAACACACAACACAACACACAACACACAACACACAACGCACAACGCACAACACACAACACACAACATAGAACACAACAAACACACAACACACAACAACCACAACCACAACAACAACAACAACCACCACAACCACCACAACCACCACAACCACAACCACAACCACAATCACAACCACAAGAACAACACCAACACCAACAACCACAACCACAACAACAACAACAACAACAACACCAACAAACCCAACCACACCAGCAACACTAACAATACCAACAACACCACCAACACCAACAACACCAGCATTAATTAACAACACCACCAACACCAACAACACCAGCATTAACAACACCAACAACACCAACACCACCAGCACCACCAACACTACCAACACCACAACCACCGCCAACCCCAACCACACCGCCGAAGCCTTTCCGTCGCTTTTACCAGACTCCACTTTATATTTTTAGAGAGAAAATGGCCGCCTCGCTTTTACCAGACTCCACTTCATGTTTTTTTCCTTGCCCTCTCTCCTTTCTTTTTTCTTCGGTTCCTTTCTTGCTCACCTACCTTTCGTGTTCCCCCTCCCAAGTACTTTTCACCCAGAGACTCTTCACCCAGAAACTCTTCTTGCACATACTTTTCACCCATATACTTTTCACTCCAGAGACTCTTCACCCAGAAACTCTTCTTGCACATACTTTTCACCCATAAACTTTTCACCCAGAAACTCTTCTTGCACATACTTTTCACCCATATACTTTTCACCCAGAGACTCTTCACCCAGAAACTCTTCTTGCACATACTTTTCACCCAAGACTCTTCACCCAGAAACCCTTCTTGCACATACTTTTCACCCAATGTCCTTCTCTCTCCATTCTCCCCTAACTAGCTGGCCCATCTATCTGTCCATTGACTGAGCCCAGAAAATCCCAGAAAACCGGACCTAGGGGGAATCGATACCCACCGTCACTGTTTTGCTGCCTGGTACATTACCCTGCAAAACCATACTTTGCCCGGAACTAAAACACCACCTATTTCCGCCATTCTTGACCCGTTTGGCAACTACCCCCCCCCCAGACCCCCTATTCTCACTTCGTTTGCAAATAGCAACTAGCCAGCTTCCCGGCTGGCTGTCGTAATTATGGGAATGAATTCCATTCCAAACACCTACATCCAGTCCATGTTCTGATGGAAATCAAAAGCCTGCTCAAGTCGTCCCACTGCCAGGCAGCTACGCACAAGGCCTGGCTGCACCACGCGTTCCTGTGCAATTCTTTCTTGCCTTACAAATGGCCCGAGTGGGTATTCCACCTCTTTGTTGTCTCATGTTGTCTCATATGTAACATGCTGCAGGCCTGGTTTTGCCTTTGGTATATCTCTGGCGTGTCATGCCGCTGACACTTCTCAGACCGTGATTTATTGACACCAAAAGCTGTTCCCTTCATTATTCCCTATATGTCGTTGAGTTGGCGCCGCAATCCGAAAGTTTATCCAACTTAGCTATGCGCTGGTAGATTGGGGGTGGCCATCAAACAAAATATCTTGTAAGGTACTATCGCATAGCTCCAAACGAATCAAACGAATCATCATGCACATACTGACCCAGCTGAAGTTCTGAGAGGCACGACCAGTTTCACCAGCCGCAGGTTTCACCCTGTAGCAAAGCCTTCGGGGAAAATGGCAACACAAAAAGCTGCATCCTCTGTCCCTGAAGATCCTTACGTGAGCGTTCACCTGGTCTTTACTTTGTTTTATTTATGTTTCAAACAATGTTGTGTTTTTTGCGAAATCTGCACTACGCTTGGATGTCTAGCTCTGAAAGGATATCTAAGCCCAAGGCACATGGAGAGTCGGACGAAATACACACCAGCCTTGGCGGACGCCAACCAATTTCTCAACCCACCCGGTCAAATGACGGGCCATGCTGAAATCCCAACAGTCAGGATGAGGAATGGGCATGGCTGTGGCAGCGAGAAGGAGGAGAACGATGAAGAAAATGATGATGGTGGTGGTAATGATGAAGATTCGATTGAAGATGAGAGTGAGGACCGGCATCGCAAAGAGGCTGATGATGATGATGATGATGATGATGACGATGACGATGACGACTACGATGACGACTAATATGACGATGGCGATAATCAATAATGGTGATCAATAATGGTGATCAATGATGCTGATCGATGATCAATGATTAATGTTGATGATGATCATGAATCATGATGATTCTTATTCTGATGCTGATGGTTAGTGATAGCCGCGATAACGATGAAGACGATAATTAAGAGGATGATGAGGACCATGACGACCATGACGACAAGACCACAATGACCACGATGACCACGATGATGACTATGACGGCGACTATGACGACGATGACGACAATGACGACGATGACCACAATGACGATGATGGTGACGGCGATGACGACCATGACGACGATGACGACGATGGCGACGATGACCGTGATGACCGCAATGACCACGATAACGACGATGACGACGATGACGACGATGGCGACTATGACGACGATGGCGACGATGACGATGATGAGAAAGAGGGGGCGGAGGAGAAGCAAATTATGCTGATGCTACTCTTGCTTCAGAAATCAGAAATCCACTCACGCAATGTCTGGGTTTCGTCCACATCCCGCGGCACCCACGTATTCAAATGATCAGGAGGGGCTCTGCCAAGCAAGTCTCAGGGATGCGCCAAGTGCAAAGGCGAGCAACAGCACTGCCTTGCGAGTTCTCAAAGGGACACCACCGCAATCTGGCAAACAACCCTCTGTCTGGAAAGAATCATTGTGTCAACGAACTTACTGCCGTAAATTCGCATGCAAATGAGAAGACGAAATGCGAATATGATGACATGAGAAGTACATGTATGACATGATTTTTGCGGTCAAATGCTTTCCATCTAATAAATAATATGTACTTGCATACATTACATAGCCAGCTTATGCAGCTTATGTGCAACATGCGTAATATGACCACCTTTTCGAAGCCCACCAGTCATGCCGCAATGCCGTTGTGTCAGAAATCCACTCCGAAAGCTCAGGACGTGACCGATTCGTTCAAGGAAGCCAGGTCCGAACCTGTCGCTGTCAAAGTCACACGATGTCACACGTCTCATTGACATTTCAAAATATTTCAAATGTCATCCCATGTTTCCATTGAAATTTCATCCCAATTGAGTAATTTGGCCAGTCAACTCAGGTGTTCCACATCCCCCTCACGAACTCTTGCAACTGAACCATTGCCAGTTTTTGATAATCCCTCGATAATCTTGATAAGTTTTTGGTGGTTTTGCAGATCCCGATTCTCTCAACTTCACCAACCCAAGGTGGCCTTGAAGTTCAGCAAAGTCCCTGCAAGCAGCTTTGACTAGCGGGCCTGTGCAAATCAAAGTGCCCAGACTTTTCCACAATCAACGGACCAGTCCCAAGACAGTCACAAAAGATCATGGGGCCATGGGGAAGAGTTCCAAACCATTGGATTCTCCGCTTCCCAAGCCGTCCTCTAGACCCGAACTTTCCCACTGGCTTGCTGCAAACTTCAAATGTAGATGTGATTTGCCTATGCGTGCTGTGATCGTGTCCTGAAATAGCTGTACATATGATGTGTGAGAGCAGGTTTGCATCCAGTGTCTTTGCTGAGAACCCTTGCTTAGATCTTCTCTGAGAACCAAACACACGGTTGTCTCGGCCACAATCATGTGGATTAGTCCTCAGCAGCTCCGAAGTCTGTGCTCTAGTTGAATCGATAACAAATGCTATTTCTGACAAAATGCAAAGTCTGTGAAATCCACGTCGCTGTCACTACCAGTTGCTTTAGAGCTAGCTTTGCAGAAGCGGGCGTCCAACGGAGCAGGTATTAATCAATAGATCGTAGTGGCTCGACGAGGTGATCCTCAGGGCCAAAATAGCACGGCTCACGGTACTGGGCGAAGTTCAAGGAAGTCCTGCAGATCTTCCTGTCAAATCTGTCAACTAAGTCTCGGAAGTCTGGGGATACTGTAAGGTCAGGAGGCTAAGTGCAGCCCAGCTTCGTCCGCTTCGTGTTGCAATGTTCCTGAAATGCAATCTCTTGCACTCCCGACGACAATTCCCAGCTCACTTCACATTTAGTCTTCATGAAAAACTTCAAGCCACTTCTGTACACATCCTATTTTCCACCTGGAAACTTCAAACCATGGGCTTTTGCAACCGAGCTGCACTAAACAAGACATAGAATGATCAGATCGCGGATGTTTTTGGAAAAGCTTGAGACAATAGTAGCCACATGCACACACCTGTCGATGAGTAGATATGCAATGCACTTAACACGGAGAAACGGTAAGAGGGTATCCGGTGCTTTTTCGTGGCATTCTGGCGCCTTCAAGCATCCAATATTATGTACTGTAAAACGATTTTTTATTGCCTTAATCAATAGCCTAGAGGCCTAGAACCTCTTGATCAAGGAGCTTTCTATAACTGTCTCCAGGCTCAACTACTTCGCAGAGCCTTCACAGCTACTGAAGTGCACAACCTTCTTACAGGCGTAACACTCAGACCACTCAGGGCCACTCAGGGCTCAGACTGCGCTCAGGACTCTGCCGTCTCCTTTTGTCCTGGGGGAGCATCTTTGGTGGTCTTTCGACCTGCACCTTCTTCAATCATCACAAAGTTGGAGGCTTCCAAGACTTTGGCCGGCAGCTTCAAAGTGTTGGTTTTGGCCACCTCCGAAAACAGCTTCGCAGATTTCTTCAGGGTCCTGCAACTGAAGAGTTTTGGTGATCAAGTCAAGCTTGATCCAATCAACTGCATGTAACCTGATAAACATATGTATATATATATATATACAGGACGTCAAAATGCACTGCAATGTGCGAGCTCTAACAATGAGTTGTATATGTATGTACAGTGTACAGTGTACAGCAAGAGATTGGGCATGTCCCCAGCCTCTTCTGGGTTTCGTAGTCGATGTGCACCATGCCAAATCGCTTTGAATACCTAACATCACATCAAGTCTGTCTATTTGGATGGGGACCGACAGTAAGCCTGAAAAAGCATGAAAAAAACAGTGTGCCAGGAGCCCCGAAGCACACTCCATCAGCAACCACCACAAAAACAGTGCCAAAAAATGCAAAAAAATGACAATTTTCTCTCTGTGGGCTTGGTGCATTCAGATGTTGACGTAGGTATCAGCTCTAGGTGGCTGTAGGATACCGTAGGATACCGTAGGTATCTCATGGTGTCTCACTGCAGCCGAGACACCCGAGGGCCCACTCAAAGTTGTCCATCAGCGACCAGGCAAAGTAGGCACGGATATCGCAGCCAGCCTTGATGGCTTTGTGAAGCTGAGCCACGTAGCCTCGAAGCGGCTGCGGGCTATGACTGACATTTTGTGGCATGCGATGGGAACCTAAAATGGAGCACTAGCTATTCAGTTGTAGTCAACTGAAAGATTAATAACATCCCCCACGGAAGACGCCAGTCTTTGAGAAACTCTTAGGACAAAGCCATTGGACACATTTTTCTTAGGAGGAACCTTTTGCAACTTCTTGGACCCTTGTGACCTGGCCCTTGCAAACCGTGCCCCTTGCAAAACTTGCATTTAGGAATCTGTTCTTGGGAAGCTTGTCTCTTGGAAGCTGCTATTTGGGAGAACTGTAGACTTGGGAACCTTGGAAGCCTTTGTGGAACTCGAACGTAGTAGGTGGTACAGTACAGTTTGACCGAATTGACCCCCACCATCCAATTCTTGAATACGCAATTTTCACCCGCTTTTTGTGAAGAAACGAAAACCTCCAGTGCAAAAATCCAATCTTGAGTCATCCGTGATTTATCTGCGAGACCTAGGAGACAACAGAGCTGTCAGTGCCTTTCCCACAAATACCAAGGGGTTGCGTGCTCTAGAATTTTGGGAACAAACCCCTCAATGGCGCAGGACTCTGGGTCTCCTCGAAAACCCAGTTTATTCGGACGGAATCGAATATATAATGGAATTGTCACTAGAATTGTCAGAGTTTTAGGAACCCCGCAATCAATTGCAGCTGTATTTCCCAGGTCCAAATTAGGACTCAAAGGCCTTGGTAGAATTCAACTCGGAACTTGTCGTTCTTGGCGACCTTGACATCGTCGTCTGCTACTGCACAGCCGTTCTCTGTCACCAGAATTCCTCCTTGCACTTCAGCTGTTGGATACCGTTGCAAGCAAACACAAAGAAAGAGAACTGTCAACTGATAACGTTGTAGAGGAAGCCAGCTCTTTCATATCTTTTACACTGTTACACGATGTTGTTTGGCAGCGTCTCCCAAGTGCTTTGGAAATATTTGGAAGACTCAATCGCGCAATGACGTGATGAACATCACTTTCACACTTTCGAATTTCCAAGATCAATAAACACAGAATCAAATTGAAACCCCTGAGCACTGACGGACGCGCCTGCTTCCTTTTTGATCACTGCTCAGGGCATGGGGAGAGCAGTTAAAAATGGATCTATTGAATGCTGAAAAGCAAAAACTGAGAGATCATGGGTGGATAGAGCTCAACGATTCATCGAACTTCACAGCTTATACGCAGAGTCTTTCACAGACCAGGTTAAAGCAAGAAAGCTAATGAACCACAAAATAGAGCTCAGTCACAGACCCCATCAGACTCACACACAGGCAGTAGAGGTCAGGAAATGCGTCAGATTGCTGACCAAAGCGATCTAATCAAAAAGCCGAGGAGGCCAAACCACACCCTGAGCCACGCGAAGTAACCCAGGGTGGGCGGGATGGGCTTTTCGAGAGATGATGCCTGGAGCTGATCACGTACTTCGCGCCAAAATGGCCAACGATCGGACTGGCATCCTTGGTGATCACTCCAGGTGTGAATCTGTCAGATCACATGAATAAAAATAAATAAAGAAATCAAAGTGTGAACATGCAACGTAAGAGTCCTACACCTATCCCAGACCTACCTAGCCGACGATATGTGAACGACTCAATCGCGCAATGACGTGATGAACATCACTTTCACACTTTCGAATTTCCAAGATCAATAAACACAGAATCAAATTGAAACCCCTGAGCACTGACGGACGCGCCTGCTTCCTTTTTGATCACTGCTCAGGGCATGGGGAGAGCAGTTAAAAATGGATCTATTGAATGCTGAAAAGCAAAAACTGAGAGATCATGGGTGGATAGAGCTCAACGATTCATCGAACTTCACAGCTTATACGCAGAGTCTTTCACAGACCAGGTTAAAGCAAGAAAGCTAATGAACCACAAAATAGAACTCAGTCACAGACCCAGGCCCTCCACTCACTGAGAGAGCGACGGCGGCCACAAGACATTAACCCCCATCCAATGCTTTCGCCAATGAACATCTTGTCTCTTGACGGCCAATCAGCAGGATTGGCATCAGTTGAAATTCGATCGATAAACACTCGAACTCTCAACTGAAAGGCAAGGTCCCAAAAGACCGAAATAAGCTCACAAAGATCTTCGCGACTAGAGTATCCCTTGATAAGGGAGCCTTCGACTGCTTCAGAGTCAATGAGCAACAAAATATCAACTCCTCGCAGTCGATCGGCAAAAGTCTCTAAAGCCAGGACTGCAGCAATCATTTCAACTGGAACAATCTGAGTCGCACGCTGGAGCCAGCGTTTCTTGACTCGTTCAGGAATGACTGCTGTGAACTGCCTAGGCCTACCTATTCTACGATCAAAAAGAACAGCGCCAACACGATCAGGCTCGCGCTGATTCGATCTCGGATCTGGTGTGAAACCGTCAGTGAAAACAACGGCATCCACGAGCTTTTCTGAAACAGTTTCGATCGGCCTAGGTGGGCCATGCAAAACGAGCCTACGCCAATGATTCAGAGCTTTCTTCAGAGCAGGGTCTAGTTTAAACTCATGACCTACAGGAAAACGCAAATACTGCCTCTCAGAAATAACTCTCAGAAAAGCACGACCGACTTTTCCCCAAAGTTGAGAAGAGCCAAACATCAGCTTCCCTTTGAGCTTGCCGGCAGAGCCTGGATCCAAAAGACCTGAAGCAAGGATGGCATCAATCTCATTGGCGATCTCCTCTTTGCGATCGGCTTTGATCTCCAGCTGCATGGCCGAGAGATTGTAGGTGACTCCTAAGATCGTAGGTGCCTCGGACAGTTGCAGCTTCTTCTGATCAAAACGAGCACCAAGCCAAAAATGGACGCTCTCGGCCACGAGGCGAGCGCTCTCCACCGTGGACTTCGGCTCGAACCCGTACTTGTCATCATAGAAGCTGAAGGCAACCAATCCAAACAACGACACCAGGAACTCGTTGATAGCAGCCGAACGGCGATTGTAGTTATAGACCGCAGAAACGAGCCCAAAGGAGTGACCGACCATGATAAAGAAGTTTGGGGCACCAGACTTGGGGTTCTTGAGACAAATGACCGAGAATCTGCGGTGATCAGGACGAATAGCCACTTGTCGGTATGCCTTCCGCTCATCGAGCACCCAGCCTGCCAACTCTTCATCTGGCTTGATCGACTTCAACATCCTCAGGGCCACCACATTGGTGTCCGTCGAGGGGAGCTGGAGCTTCTCAGTGATCTTCGTGACCTGGTTGATCATGTTTGTGGTGGCGCTATCGCAACCCCTGACCTTGTTCTTTTGAACGACTTCAAATCTCTGGGTTGGGATCCAATCTTCACATCCTAGGATGTCAAAACTTGAGCTTCATCTGAAAACGAGCACTCATGCACATCCTCGAGTGAGGCCTCCCAAATTTTTTGAAGGACCCGCTGGATGATCTTCCTTCGGATTGCCCAGGCCCTACCAAGAGCTTCCCGAACGGGGATATCCTTCTGAGGCTTGTCATAGGCTGGCCAACGGCCTGTGCGAGCGATCTCGCCCACAATGGGAAAGCCTTCCAAGAGCAGCTGAGGCAAAGCACGGTCAACTGATTGGCACGCATCGAGCATGGCTGCGTACAACGCGACATGGCAAACCTGACCAAGAACTGGTGGTTCGTGATCCGCCCCACCAAGAAGGAGCCGCCTCAAGGGAGCATCCGGTAATTGGCGAATGGCTTGCACAGATTGTGGCAGCAAGTCGACTGCGATCTGTGACCAACGGCGGAGCAAGTGCCCTCGATGTTGAACAACCGCATGCGCCGGTCGCCGGAGCTCACCTAAGGCTTTCTCTTCAGGGGCTGACAAAGGAGCCGCCAAAGTGAAAGGATGGATCACATGGAGCGCAGCCTCAATGGCTTGACCAGGTTCCATCTCGATGTGCAAGAGCGGCTTTGCTGCACCACGCTTGAGCTGATATCCGGCCCACTGCGCACGTTGGGCGGAGCTCATTTGTCGATGGCCCAGCCACGGCTTGCAGGATCCCAGTTGCCGCTTCCGGTCGGAGGCTGGCGTAACCAACTGAAAAGAAGCCTGAAGATGTTGAAAAGGATCCTGCCAAAGAGCATGCACCACCGAGGCGAACGCCGCACACAAAGCCCAAGGGTAGACCTGCGCTGCCTTGGTCTTGAACACGCGCTTGCCCGTTGCTGGGTCGGTGACCTTGCCCTTGAGCTTGATGTGGTCGTGACCGCCAGGGCAAGTGATGGCCAAAGGATCAAAAAGTTCGTTGGAGCACTCCAGTCGAGTAGGCTTGCGAGAGGGAGCCCCAAATGCGCATTGTTCGAGGTCAATGGCCAGAGCCCGAGCATGGACAATCAAATTATCCATCAAATAAGTGACCCACATCAGGCTCAAAAGAGGATTTTCGATAGAAAAATCCCCACCATGATCAAAAACAATGACACAAGCCTCACAAGTATGACCTAAAAACAAGTTGCCAAGCTGAACCAAGCACCAATTGTCAGGACTCAGATCCGGCAATCCCATTGGGCACTCCAGTGAGCGCAGAGGTGGTGGGCCTCCGTCATCTTTGCGAGCAGAAGAAAAAGTGTTGCAAGGCGTGCCGCAGTGCAGGTAGAACACCACTCCTTCGCGCAGCACACGCAACACACGCTGCCACACCTGAGCATCGACCACATCTGAGACTTCTTTGACCATTTCGGAGAGCACAATGTCAATGGGCGGCAGCACGGGGACTCCAGTGAGCTGAACAGCTTCCGTGATCCCTGCAGTGCCAGAAAAGAGCTCCAAAAAGAAACGCCCTTGTTTCCGCAAAGAGGGCAGATGTGACAAAATTGTGGCCCAAGACCCAGCAAAGGAACCTTCGACTGACGAAGGGCTCGAGCTGCGCTCAGCAGAGCTGAGAGAGCCGTCATTGCTGCCTTTCGCTAGGCCCAGAACTGGGCGAGGAGCCGCAGCCCCCCCAAGGGGGGTTGTTCAGTGGTTACCATGCCAAGGGTGGTCTTTCCCACACTCGACACAGCTGTGTTTCTGCTTGCACTGATCTCCAAAGCGGCACCCCAGCGAGCAGTTGAAGAAAGGGCAGCGTTTGGGGCCACCATATTTGAACGAGGTGATTTTCTGCCACTCTGCTGGGGGCACACGAGCATCGCGAGACGGCTCCTTGCTGTCTGGCTTGTCGCGATCAGATTGCTTTGCTAGAACTGCTTTGGCCTGCTGAAGTTGAACTTTTTGTCGAGCACGCCGATTGCGATTCTTCTTGGCCTTGGCTGTGCTTGGTGGAGAAGGTGGTGAGGTCGACCGAGCTCGCTTCTTGGGCGGCGTCGTAGGGGCGCTTGTCGCCGCCTGCTTGAACTTGTCCAGTTCCGCACTCGAGCGAGCATCATTCCACAACTGTTTGTGGTTGGTGAGCACTTCCAAGAGAGCTGCAGAGAAGGTGCCGAACTTCTTCCGCTGATCCGAGCTCACCCTATGAACTTTCTTCCTGATCAGCGAGTCCGCTGCCAGGAGCAGAGCAAGGCCACGGTTCTCATGCCGCCACTCTTCCAGTTCAGCCAGGTATTTGAGAGGACCGGCCTTGAAAGAGAACTCACAAATGTTGAGGTACTCCAAGGTGATGAAGAACGCATGAAGCTTATCCATGACTTGGCTCTCTGAACTGGCGGTCGCGGGCTGGTCGATCGTCACCACTCGCAGCAGATCTTCCGCGTTCTTGGAGAGCCCGGACTTCTGAGCGATCTGCTCGTTGCGTGTCCTGATCTCACCCACCTCGTAGAAGTGAACAAAACCATGGACAAGGTGATCTCTTTGGACTCTCTCAACGAACTTGCGGTGAGGCTCACGATGGACTGGAAGGACAACGTCAGGGTGCCTGGAGACGAACGTCTCTCTAAATTCAGCATGGTCTTCACCAGGGATCTCCGGCACCTTTGACGGAGCCTCTTCCATCTTTGCTCTGCGAGCTGCGAAATGGTCCTGCATAGTATAGAGCATGTCTTCCAAACCGCTGCCAGTGAGGTCAAAGCCAGTTCTTGAGCAGGTTGATCGTCTCCGAGCTGGGTGTGATCCGGCATCAGAGTCTTGATCGTCTGCTTGACCATGGCTATGGTATCCCCCAGCATCGCGAATGTTTCCACGCTCCTGAGGCCTGAATCGGCCACGAGCTTGCACAGGTCTTCTGGGATCTTCTGACGCCCCAGGATTTGCCGCAGCGGGAGCTCAGGCACGGCGTCAGCTGCATAGACCGTGCGATCGACCATCTTTCAAACGATCACTGAAATCTGCTTCTTGAAAAAGAAAAACTTGCAGAGCATGCTAAATGAACACAAGACAGAAAAAGAATGCCATGTCTTGCAGAACACACATGCAGCTAAGGCACAGGACGATCCTGGAGTGCGCACTGCAGTGAAGCACCTCGACACCACGTCAGGGCGAGCTTGGGCGCAGCGCTTGCAAAGCAGTGAAGGGTCCGGCAAAACTGAGCCAGTCTCCGTGCACTCCTCGATCGTGAGGCGTCCACAGGCCACCACTGAAGTATCGCCCACCTGCGAGCAATGGAAACGAAAGTCTTGATTTGCCCTGGAGCCATGAGTCTTGACAAAGAACTGGACTTCATCAAGAGCAGTCTCGGCGCCATCATCGAGCACCGCATCAGCTGGCACCTCGAAGGGGTGGGAGTGGTCGACCATGTCCTTCACGAGCTGCTGAACCATCTGAGCTGGCACACTGGTGCGATTCCGTGTGTACTTCAAAACGAGCGGGCCCGGATTTTTCCAGTTTGCCTGCAAGCCGATCTCTTCTGTCGAGCGACCAGCATGCACCGCTGCGTCTAGAAGCGTCACACGAGCAGAGTGCGCAGTAATCCCATGGAGCTTGGATTCTGCCAGCTTGATCGCCTGCTCCTCACCCTGGAAGTACTTCTTCAAGGCGAACTTGGCAAGGTGGCGGAGCCATTGAACCGAACGTTGATAGGCTGCCGGCGCATCTCTGAAGGCGTCGCGGGTGTTCAGATCCCGCATCCAGTAGTCTCGGTCTAAAGACTCCAACTGGAAAATGCTCCAACCAGCGAGCAGCCATCCAGAGTCAGCGAAGCCGACATGGGGAACAACGAACTTAGTTCCCCTCCTCTTCCTTTCGACCTTTCGCCGAACAAGCCTTCATCCGTGAGGATAAGCTCATGCGGCTTCACATGAACAGCATCGTCAAAACGCAAAGAGGCAAAGACCATGCAGAGCCACCACCAAACAAAAAGACGAGCTGCGTCGGCCTCTTCAACATCGGCCACGAACTGCTCCATGCACCCTATCACCTCGATCGGGATCGGGTTGGCCTCTTTCAGGGTGGTCGCCCGTTTCTGGACGATCTCTGCCTGGACGGCGAGCAACGCCGCGTGAGCCAAATCGGGGCAATCAATTGCTAGTTTGGAGGTGACCCATCTAATGGCTGTTCTGAGCGATGGAACTACTGTCGGACCGCATTCACGCTGGTCCAAAAACAGAGCATATTTCAAAATCTTATCAGAACTAAGGGAGAAAACATGGATACCCTCACCTAGCAACCACTCTTCGAACCTTTCCCAGGTTGAAATATGAGCTGCCATGGTTCTAGGTGCCCCTGATGAAAGAACTAACTGCCTAAGACGAGCCGTTTCAGCCGTCGAAAGACCCTCACTGTTGGCGGTGTCCACCAAAAGCTTGGAGCACGAGCCAGCCCTCCTGCCTATCTCTTCCAGCGGGCAGCTGTCTCCTGGTTGAGCAACGGCGTGGTTGAGGGATCCGACTCCGTCTTCTTGAGGATCTTCCTAGGCTGTTGGGCAGGCCGCTCGAGCAGAGCTCTAACCGCACGAGCTTGTCTAGCACTGGCAGTTTCTGCACTCAGAGCTGTTGTAACAGGATCACACGTGCCGAAGCCGAGCTGGTTGGCTGTAGATTCAAAGAAAGCTTTTTCAATAGAACTAGCCAAACTCCAGTATTGCTCCAGCATGAACCCATTCGTGAGCAGTGCATCCCTCGAGTCTTCAGGAACCGACGAGGACCACTCATGAACTCTCACCACGAACTCACCAGCAGAGTGCACCTCCATTGCAGCGATCAGCGCCAGGTTCGAGTATGGCGAGCGCAAAATCGCCTGGGCAAACTCATCTGAGAAAATGGGGAGAGCTAGGATCTTAGAAGCCCACCTATCCTGAGACTGAGCCATGGTCACACTGTCCGAGCGACGTGATGGCTTAGATCAAATAGAACATGGAATGGGTGGGACAACCTAAGAAGCCTAACAAACCCGATAGAAAAGCCTAGCAAAAGCGTACCTGATCATGCTGCAATGAAAGATCCTACGAGCACATGCAAGACATGAACATGCCAAATAACTGCAGTTGAGACTTAAAAAGTTAAACTCAGTGAACACTAAAATTATTATTACAACAGATCAGACAGAGAAGGATGGCTAACTTCGTGGGCGATCGCCCTATGCCAGTCAGCACAATCCTACGTCAAGTCCGATCTGGGGTCCCACAACACCCCTCCCGCTGAGGTGATCGCCTGAGCCGGGTCGGAATGAGCACATGAACATGTGGATTGTGAGACCCCTAGCAAGTAACCGATCGCTCAACTTGCTGACATTGCATGGCAAATGAAAAAGCAGCACATGCCAAAATGTAAACAAGTTGAACAAACAGAAATAAAAAGGAAACCGTCTCATGCACAACCCCTTTTCAGTTGCACTTCCCGTGCCACTTCCAGCGGCTGACATGAACACTGGTTTTCCTGCCGATCGGAAAGCAATCTTGCTTAACATCCACCTGGAACATTCCAGCACCTTCCCGGTGAATTTCAATTGAACAAAATGAAAACCATCCTAAAAATCAGCAGTCCGTGACTTCTTCAATCACCGGAGCAGGGCCATAGCTGACAGGATGGCTTGGAACGTAGTGAGGATCTTGGCTGTCACGAGCACCTTGAACTCGATCAAGAAAGGTCTGAGGGGTCCCAGCAGCCTCAGAAAGGTTCTCAGCTGCACGAGCCCCCAAAGAGCGCCTTTGAACCAAGATCGAGCCACCAGCCACTTCTTGCGCGCCAGGAGCCTGGCCGGGCTCTGTGGCAGACACTGCCGCTGTCCCACGGGAGCCACCACCAACGCTGGATTTGAAGGCCCAGCGAGAGCTCGTTGGCTGCAAGTCGCCTGAGCTGCAGGCACCACTGATGGACCACCATGCACACGAGGGAGCACCAGCATCTCTTGCTCCAACTGTTGATCATGACATTGCAGAGCCAACGCCTCCACTGGCACAATCGCTTTGGGAGCCCTGAAGAGCGGAGCTTCGCACGTCAAGTGACCATTGGCTGGATGTGATTCCACTGCCACTGCACTGATCCTCGGGCCAGTTTCTTCCAGAGCTCCTGCCTCGATCGTTGCAGTCCAGTGGGCGTGAACACCTGCCAGTTGCGAGAGCTGAAGAGTCTGGTCTGGGCCCTCGATGCGTGCGTGATGATCACGGCACCAATGAGCATTCTTGATGAGCGTGGGTCCTGACACCCGTGACACCACGAGCCACGTGGAAGGCACCACAGCCTGTGAACAGGCTACATCCAGCTTGTCCCCAGACGATCGAAATCTGAACTCAAGCCTGTCGGCGTCCATTCCGATCGAATCTGCGGAGGACAGAGCTGTCATGCGCACCTCAAAGTGACATAGTGGAAAATCAAGGGCTGCCACCATGCCACCTTCTGAGCACGCATACAAGCGCCCGCCCACTTCGAACGAAGTAGCCACAACTCGCCAACCTTGGAAGATCGTGACCACGCAGGACGGCACGAAGAGCGTGTCCCTGAAGTTTGCGACCATAACATCGTTGATGTAGTTGAGCTGGACCGACATGTCTTGGTCCGAGCGGTATCCACGGAGCTCAGGTGCAAGAGCAAATCCCCTTCCACTTTGACCTTCACATCAACCCACGTGGATGCCTCGTTTGACATCATGGGCCATCTGAACGGTTGAAAGGCCTTGTGGTTGAGCACCTTGCTGGTGGCTTCGTCCCATCTGGCAGCAGGAACCGTGCCATAGGACGTCATGGTCCCCACCAAAATGAGCTTGAAGCCGTCGAGGATCCTCACGTAAAAGAGGTTCATGTGATAGCCTGTGCTCGGCGATCGAACCAACTGTGACTATCCGACAAGACATTCACCCCAGACTGAGCATTGAGGAGGATCTCGTCGAGAAGCCACCCCTGAAATGGGGATTGGATCATCTTGTCGCGGCTGTCGATCACCAGAACTGACCGCTCATTCTCACGAGCACCAAGCTGCTGAATGAAATTCGGGAGCTGAACTGAAAGTTCTGAGCATTCAGCCCTGGCATCTGCCCCCATCGGATCCCTCTCTGTCCACGGCGTTTGGCCTGAGCTTTCTGCTTGGCCAACCGTTGAGCCTGTTGCTGGGCATTGTCCCAAAGAGCTTTGGCTGCTTGTGTAGCAGGAGCTGCAGGCACTGTTGAGGGTGGATCAAACACCCCCGCCCAGAACTGGGGATCGTGTGGTGGCACATTCTGAGTCAGTTCCGGGTCAGCCTCAGTCGCCAGAGCCGCTTGCTTGTCCACAGGTCCAAAGCCAGGAGGAGGAGCCTTCGGTGTTGGGAACTGCATGGGCACCCCCCGACCGGCTGGTGGAGCCACATTGGTCTGTTCGTTGACCAAAACACTCCAAGACCCATGAGATCCCACCGTAGAGCCTACCATCGATGCGCTGTCTTCTGGGCGCACTCCTTCAGCTGAACGAGCTGCTGCCATGGCTTGCTGGCGCCGCAACGACGAAGGAGCAGGGTAAGCAGGGCGAAAACTCATGATCTAGAGCTATTTAAGTGAACGAGCTCCCAGGCCCTCAGTTGATCCCCTTTTCGAGAGATGATGCTTGGAGCTGATCACGTACTTCGCGCCAAAAGGCCAACGATCGGACTGGCATCCTTGGTGATCACTCCAGGTGTGAATCTGTCAGATCACATGAATAAAAATAAATAAAGAAATCAAAGTGTGAACATGCAACGTATAAGAGTCCTACACCTATCCCAGACCTACCTAGCCGACGATATGTGAACATCTGCACTTATTGTCACTGCAATTCACATGGTGCACAGCTCAGTTCACACTTCTGCAACGTTCCAGAATGAGAAGAAAATTAGCCCAAACATGAAGCGGGCTAATCGATGCGAAGCGAAACCAGCCATAGGCAGTCCTTCCGGCTTGTATATTGAATCGATGTACTCGCACATGTGTTTCAATCCCCAAGGCACAACACCCCAGTCCATATCAGTCCGGCCCCACCTGAGGTTGTGGAAAGAAACTGTCGAACAAAAATAAATTGTCGCAATGACCGGAAACCTTGCGCAACTACCTTGGAATGGTTGTCGGGGAATTTGAATTTTCCATGCTGATAGATCCGTCTTAGTGGCATGTCAAGGTATTGTACCATAGCTATTGTAGTCCCAATCAACTATGCTGATGCTGCTCACCCGATCCGTGCCAGGATACCGAGGATCATCGATCAGCTCCACTTCCTGGTCATCGAAGTATCCACCAGCTTGCACGTTGCCCCACATGGAAACAGTCTGAGCTTGTCCCTGTGGCACCGGGTACAAGTGGATCAAGTCCAAACAACGCAAGGCTAATGCTGCTAATGGTTTGCATGTTGGCACGTCAAGTTTGATGAGATGATATGCAGCAATGCTGTGTGAGAAATGCATGGGCACCACGCAATGAATATGTCACAGATCCACCCATTTGTTACCAGCCTTTGGAGCAGCAACATAAGCAGTTGAATAGTGATTCCTTGGCAGCTCACTGATATGAAGCTCAGTCGATCAGGTGTTCCATGAATGACCAATCACTTTGTCAATTGGCGTTGTATCAGACGGAAAAGCCAGGAACATTCAAACACCCGGCAAATACCATCGCAGCAGCAACCAAGGTTCAAACCGAAGAACTCGGATGTTCCGATTATGAGTTCCTTCTCTTCTGCTGTGAAGGATGGAAGGCGCTCGCCGCACCGCTTTCGCATACTCTCCTTACTTAAATGCAGTGAAATCAAATTGCACTTTGTTCGGCATTGCGCAACAGAATTCCGTGTTTAATGGATCTATGTGATTCACCTTTCTGCATAAATGAACCAGGTGTACACGAAACGAGGTCCTATCCAAGCTCAAGACCCACAATTACCCAGTCAGCTGCCCCCTTCATTCAGCTTGCATGTCTCCCCAGGTCTCCCTGGTCTCCACTACATGTTGCATCAATGTGCCATGGATTTGTCTATCAGCTTGCCCGTCAATCCATGACAGTCATTTGCCTACATCGTATCATTGTGTTTCCACCAAGGACGTGTCTTTGCACGGGACAAAGAGCTTGGGTATTGGGCTAAACTGCGAACCCGAGAAACTGCTTTATGTTTTTACATCATTCTACATCTACCATATCTACCTTTCTGCCACTCTGCATCTGTCCATGTGCCTATCCGGCTCTTCACCTACCATCTCGTTTCATCTCAACACAGTATATCAATACTATGTTCACCTTTCCGTGCTGTTCCAAGGCCTCATGTAGCACACATACATGATGATGCTTGCATGAACTGGTGGGTTTACCATGATTTACCTCACCAAAGTACTTCATGCGAAGTTGAAATCGCTTTGAAAATCAAACGTGTCGCAGTCCTTGACAAACAGTTTACTGAATACAAACTTGCTGGGTCAGAGGCAAAACGAATCCCAGCCCAGCGTCTGGATAGTCGCCCTTCCAAATGGGATCTGCGAACCACCCTAGCTGCCAATCCAGCGCTCTCTGCGCCGCGGCTGCATCTTCCTCCTTGGAAGTATAGGGCTGCCTGACGCAAGCGTCTGTTCTCGCTCAGTGAATTCATTGAATTGGCCTCAAACCCCGGGGTCGCCAAAACAGATTTCTCCACGTACATGTGAATCTGGAAAGCTGTGCCTTTGGTGTCACCTATTTCAAGACAAGGTCCCTTTGAACTTACCCAGATAGTATAGTCAGTATAGTTTGATGAAAGCATCACCTCAGAACAGAATGTTTGCGCTTGATGCACCACATACTTAATTACGAGAAAGATGGATGCTCGTAGTGATGAAAGCAATCCAACTATGGATAGGATTTGACATCATTTGGGCTAATTGTTCTCCTTTTTGGTATAGTTCTTATGTGTACAAACAATAATCTAATGAAGGTACTGTACGTATTTGGATGAAATCTGCACTTGCGAAGTCGACACAGCCAGAATTGGTGAAGAAAGGACGACTCAGACGCAAAACACAATGCTCTTCGACACATGCCTTTTCTCAAGCGCTGTGGCCACTTGCGTATGCATGCCTTGTCCTAGACCGCCTTGATCTTCACATCATAACACATACCACAACTATCCAAAACTAGTTGGGTTAGTTGGGTTAGTTGGGTCCAAGTATGGTCCTATGGTGCATGCGAGTATGTACGAGGGAGGTTCCTGTTCTGTGCATGTATGATACGAGTACATTTGTATGGTTATTGTTCTGGCAGTTTGTCAAGGCAACCCACCTCCAGTCCATATTGAGGGTGATGCCGATCACTCCACCCTGCTTCTCCTTAAACTCGTCCCGGTAGCGTTTCACCTCAGAATGAACAAAAAATGTGCCTGTCTGCCTGTTGCAACAAAGACTGCAAGCAGCAAGGCCCTCAGGATCGGTAGTAGCAGTAGTAACTCAGTAGTAGCAATGCTTTCTGAGATCTTGTGAGATCTTCTCAATCGGTCAACGTTGGATTGTGAAACTTCCCGGTCGGATTGTGAAACTTGGATTGTGAAACTTGCCGCACGGATTATGAAACTGGTATTGTGAAACTTGAAAATCGGATTGTGAAACTTGAAACTCGGATTGTGAAATTCTAAAGTTGGATTGTGAAACTCTAAAGTTGGATTGTGAAACTGGGATTGTGCAACTCTAAAGGCGGATTGTGAAACTCTGCAGACGGATTGTGCAACTCTCGGGACGGATTGTGAAACTGAGATTGTGCAACTTTGAAGGCGGACTGTGAAACTCTGGGGACGAATCGTGAAACTAGGATTGTGCAACTCTGAAGGCGGATTGTGAAACTCTGGGGACGGATTGTGAAACTAGGATTGTGCAACTTTGAAAGCGGATTGTGAAACTCTGGGGACGGATTGTGAAACTGAGATCGAAGACAAATTGTGAAAATCTGGGGGGAGATTGTGAAACTGGTGTTGTGAAACTCTGCAGAGAGATGGTGAATCTTTAGGTGGAGATGGTTTCACGGGCACTGCGAATCTCGGAAGGCAGATCAGGAAACTGTGAGACTCCACGTTGCATAATTAAAGCCTCAAGTATCAGGATGCGACTTCCCAGTTTCACTTTCCGACGTTTGAAAATCGTTACAAATCATGAAACTCTCACTTTCCTGTTGCAGCAGCAGTATAGCACCGTTTTTCTCTCGGTTACGTCCGAAGTTTTTCCCACAACTTCAAGACGCGTCCCACCAAGGACTTCATAGTCGTCGAAGGGGCATTCATACTCAGAGTCAGTTTGAAGCTCCATGGGGGTGGGAATTTTGATATCATCTTTAACTTGTGGAGACTCCAAGCCAGTTTGAAGTTCCATGGGGGTGTGAATTTTGATATCATCTTAACCTTGTGGAGACACCAAGTCAGTTTGAAATTCCATGGGGGTGGGAATTTTGATATCATCTTAACTTTGTGGAGAATCAAAGTCGGTTTGAAGTGCTATGGGGGTGTGAATTTTGATATCATCTTTAACTTTGGGGAGAATCAAAGTCGGTTTGAAGTTCTATGGGGGTGTGAATTTTGATATCATCTTTAACTTTGGGGAGAATCAAAGTCGGTTTGAAGTTCTATGGGGGTGTGAATTTTGATATCATCTTTAACTTGCGGAGATTCCAAGTCAGCTTGAAGCTCCATGGGGGTGGAAATTTTGATATCATCTTTACCTTGCGGAGACTCCAAGTCAGTTTGAATTTCCATGGGGGTGAGAAGTGTGATATCATCTTAACCTTGTGGAGAATCAGAGTCGGTTTGAAGTTCTATGGGGGTGGGAACTTGATATCATCTTTAACTTGTGGAGATTCCAAGTCAGCTTGAAGTTCCATGGGGGTGGGAGTTTTGACCTTGTGGAGACTCCAAGTCAGTTTGAAGTGCCATGGGGGTGGGAATTTTGATATCATCTTAGCCTTGTGGAGACTCCAAGTCAGTTTGAAGCTCCATGGGGGTGGGAATTTTGATATCATCTTTAACTTGTGGAGACTCCAAGCCAGTTTGAAGTTCCATGGGGGTGGGAATTTTGATATCATCTTAACCTTGTGAGACCCCAAGTCAGTTTGAAGTTCCGGGGTGGAAGTTTTGATATCATCTTTACCTTGTGGAGACTCCAAGTCAGTTTGAAGGTGGGAATTTTGGTCCCAAGTCAGTTTGAAGTTCCATGGGGGTGGGAATTGTGATATCATCTTAACCTTGTGGAGACTCCAAGTCAGTTTGAAGTTCCATGGGGTTGGGAATTCTGATATCATCTTAACTTTGTGGAGAATCAGAGTCGGTTTGAAGTTCTATGGGGGTGGGAATTTTGATATCATCTTTAACTTGTGGAGACTCCAAGCCAGGTTGAAGTTCCATAGGCATGGGAATTCTGATATCATCTTAAACTTGAGCAAGGCAAGTTGCGCAATCCTAGTTGCGCAATCCGACCAAACAGTTGCGCAATCCTGGGTGTTGCGCAAGCCAAGTTGCGCAATCCTAGCTGCGCAATCCGACCAAAGAGTTGCGCAATCCTGGGAGTTGCACAAGCCAAGTTGCGCAATCCTAGTTGCGCAATGCGACTAAAGAGTTGCGCAATCCGACTAAGTTGTTGCGCAATCCTGGGAGTTGCGCAAGCCAAGTTGCGCAATCCGAACAAAGAGTTGCGCAATCCTGGGAGTTGCGCAAGCCAAGTTGCGCAATCTGACCAAAGAGTTGCGCAATCCTGGGAGTTGCGCAATCCTAAATAATCCTAGTTGCGCAATCCGACCAAAGAGTTGCGCAATCCTAGGTCCCAGGAGTTGCGCAATCAGGGTTGCGCAATCCTAAAAGTTGCGCAAGCGGAGTTGAGCAATCCTGGGAGTTGCGCAAGCCAAGTTGCGCAATCCTAGTTGCGCAATCCGACCGCAGAGTTGCGCAATCCTAGTTGCGCAATCCAATGAAGTTGCGGAATCGGACTTTATTCTTCTGTCTGCTGAGTCTCTGCATCTGTTTGATCAAGTCACTGCTCGAGCATGCGAGAGGATGATATGGTGCGCAGCCAGGTAGGGCTCCGTGTCTGGCTTCTCCTGTCTTGCCAAGCGGCCAACGGCCACTGGTGGCCACTGGTGGCCACTGGTATCCAGATGCAGCAGCCACACTTCAACTCAAAGGACTTGTGACATCTTGTTGACATCTTATTCAAAAAAAGTTTCGCACCCACGACAAGGGATAAGAAAGGAACATATGGGAACATGTAGACTTCCTACCGTCCACCCCACAATTTGTGACCTTCTTCCCTGGTGCCATTTCTCCATTGGCATAGCCCAACACTGTGGAACACCAGGGTTCGTTGAAAGTGATCCATGACCTCGAAAGAATGAAACACACCGAGTACACTGCAAATCGGGGTGTGCATTTAGCAAATAGTGTCCCCATTGGGACGTCAAACAACCAAAACTGGGATAATGAAATCACGCGTAGGGAATTGAATCAACAATAATTTGGTTGTGTTTATACATAATGCAGTCGGAATGTTCGAAAGAATAGCACCAGCACAATCCATAGATGGTTCCGGTGGCCCCAAAACCTGTGTGCCCACGACAACAAATAGCGCTTACCCATCTCTACCCACCAATCAAACACTTGAGGTTCAGACGTGATCTTGTCACCAAATTCTCTGAAGCAGGTCACTGCATAATGTTCAAAGTCTTCGATCACCTCACAAACGAATCGTGGCTGTTGCATTTGACTCATTTGACTCCAGATTCAAGATTGAAAGGTCTCTCTTGCGATGACCATCGCAGAACGGATTCTCCCAGATTCGCCAAATTCTGAGACATCACGACTGGTTTCCAATCAAACAGAGCTCACGTGGATACTATCGATACCTGCATGCAGCTGCATTCACCAACATCTGAGGCTTGCACTTTTCGATCGAGCCATCCTCCATATTCATCTTCTAAACACTGGGGCAGGTCCCAGTGATAGATTGTGGCAAGGGGCTTGATCCCGGCTTTGTGCAACTCATCCAACAAATCTCCATAAAACTTCACTGCTTCAGGGTTTGGCTCTCCCCTGCCGGCAGGGAGCAGGCGAGACCAAGAGATGGAGAACCGATATGCGGGGAGGCCCAACTTCTTCATGATCTTCACATCCTCCTTGAAGCGGTGGTAGTGGTCACAAGCCACAGTGCCATTGTCTCCATTTTTGACCTTGCCTTCCGCGGCACAAAAGGTATCCCAAATGCAAGCTGTCCTTCCACCTTCAAAGGCAGCACCTTCGATTTGGTAGGCAGCAGTAGCACTGCCCCAAAGAAAACCTTTGGGAAATTTCAAACTTTTGGTTCCTGTAGGTGCAGCTTTGGTTGTCTTTGCCGCCGTGGCAGGTTTCTTCGTCGCAGCTGTTGCAGGTTTCTTCCTGGCTCCTGTTGCACCTTTTGAGGCTGGTCGCTTCATCGCCTTCATAGCCACTCGGCCACACACGCGGCAATGCGGCAAGGCAGTACTCAGCGTGCAGTGAATTCAACGCTCAAAGCCAAAGGTCTATATACAGTCTACAAGGATGAACAATTACAAAACCCAACCACTGAGGTATCTCCCCGTTTCTTGAACAATCACTCTTCCTATTGCTCAATTGACTTTCACGGCACTACGAAGCGTTGCAGTTGCAAAACGGGGCCATGAAGGACATTGTGTCTGAGACAAGTCTTAAATGCAACCCCTCCAGCCGCTACCATCTCCCATCAGGCTTGGGTCCCTGTCTCAGCTCCAAATGCTCTTTGTTTGACCAGACTTTGGACACGAAACTCTCATGGTCTTGTGTCAGTTGATGTCAGTTGATGTCAGTTGATGTCAGTTGTCAACTCTTCACTCTACAGACGCTCTTCGAGAGTTCGGGTGACTCCTCAGGCAAGGCTGGCCTGGTGCAAATCCGAAGTGCAAGTGCAACCACCAAACACTATGGTACTATGGATTTATCTCGTGAATGACTGTAGAAGTATCAAGTTCCCATCCATCAGTACTCGCATAGCACTCCTATCCATGCATTGGGTTCGCCATGCTTCTGTATATGAAAGCAAATTTTGCACATCTCCACATATCTCCACACTTTGTGCATCCCAAGAACCGCCCGCCAAGTTCCATCAGCCTCACGTCCAGCTGGCGGTAATTGCCTGAGACTTGTACTTGTCCAGTACGGCGCCTGGACATGTTCGACGAAAATGTGTTTGGCATAGCACTGCTACCACCATCATTTATTGAAGTTTGTTCTTCATTATTCTTTATTCTATAATTAATCATTGATCCATTCATTTATTCAATTTTGTTGATGTATATGTATGCATACTATTGAGTGGCGCACGAAGGTGCTGTATGTCAAACACAAACGATGCAAACAAATCACGGTAGCACATTTGGAATTCCAAAGCCTATTGGAACATGGCATTCCAAAGCATTCAACTATATACTCCTCTGCTGAGAAGCTAACCCCACAAACCTGCAACATTCAAAGGATTTTCCACTGCTCTACTCCCCAACGCCAATTTGACCTCGCCGGCTTGCGCAACTGGTGGCCCTCAGGACAATGGAAAACCTAGAGATGATAGAAGCAAACTAAGCAAACATTGAAAAAAATGAAGTGGCTATTCTCTGCAAATCATGTATGAGTATTTTGCTGTCTTTGTTCTTCCTCTCGAACAAGCAGCATCTACGCGATGGATTTGAACCTCCTGAATTTTGCAGGCCCCATGCAAAACATGGTCTATGTGCTGTTGATGGATTGAAATCTTAACACTAGAGCTGCAGGATTGCATGGGACCTGTAGGGATCCGTGCGTTGCAATACATCACAGGAGCCCAAAGCTTGTCCTTTGCCTGTGACAAGCAATAACTAGCCGCAACTAGCCTGGCTAACAAGGGTCTTGCATGGACCTTTTTCAAACAATGCTCAACTGATGGTGTGGGTCGATGGCTCGGATATGTTTGGATTGCCTTGAAATGCTCCAGATGTCTTGTTAACTGTTAACATTTATCAAACGGACTCAAAACGGACAATCTCTAGAAAGTATCCGGCAGGATCCCACAGGATCCGGCAAGATCCGGCAGGATCCAGCCGGATAAGCAAAGTGTTGGATGTGTTGTCCTGTTTCCCTCAGCCTTGGAATGCCAGGCAGCAATGGCAGCGGCAAATTCGAGGTCCTTCGAGGATGTCCATGTCATGCCGCCCGCGGTGCACGTCACCAAGGAACACAAATGATAAACAAATGGTAACCAATGGTGATAACCAAGGACCTCTCCAAAATGTGTTTCAAACTCGAGTGCTGGTCTTTTGGTTGCACAAGGGCTCATGCAACTGGGATAAGCAGCCAATCTCCTGCTCACTCACTTCAGAAGCAGGTGCACGGATTGTTACGTGCGACCTGTCAGCAGTGCAACAGCCCATAGTTCAGTGTCACAAGCGTCACAAGCACTTGCAGCAATGAACCACGTGTTGAAAAAAAACATGAAAGAACACAAAGAACCAACGTCTCAAGAGACTAGCGACGCAGCACTTCTAGGGAAAGCAATTCCAAAAAAATGATCTGGTTCCAAGATTGGTTCCCTCCGCATGCATGCAGTACAGTATTCTGGTGTTTCCAAGCAAGACCAGCAAACATCCTTTGGTGGCCACTCTGAACACAAACCTCAAAGTTTGAACATCTTAAAATCGTGGGATGAACTGAAGCGCATCTACAAAAGTGCCGCACCCTGGAATGCCGTTCGCCGTGTGAAACCTCAGAAACACGACAAAGCCCCACAACCGGAAGAACGGCTGTTGAGGCTGGAGAAATCTGGAGAATGGAATCGCAAGAATCCTCAAGAATCCTCAAGAATCCAAGCTTTCTAAGGAAGTCCAGCTGACGAACGGTCATGATGTCATGATGTCATGATTGTAACAAATTTTGCTGAGAAAACGTACTAGGTTTCCCGTATGAACCTGGCTTGTCAACACCTCGATGGGTTTCAGTTTAGACTCATTTGGTTGGCAACCCCGAACCGCAAAATTATCAGTGATGTGAAAATGGTTTCCCATTTGCCACTATTGCGAAGTCACAAGAGTGCCAACTGCACTTTGTTCACCGGTGTCCGAACTTGTCAACAGTTGAATGATGCGCTGTACGCATGGCTTGCGCTCAAATGCTTGGGCTTTGCACTGATTAGCAGTGAAGCATGGAGCGTGCAGCCTGGTTCAAGGTGGACATGCCAACGTCCCCTCGGCTTCGCGAATTCCGTGCAGTTGGAGAGGTGTAGGGTTCAGCTGAGATCGCCCTCCTTCCATTTCCCTCATATTGAGGGGGTATCAACAAAGGGCCAACCCCAGATCTAGCACCGTGGCTATCAGAGCGTCGGTCGTCTGCAGATCGAGTGCTGTGTCGACTGGAAGGTGGGGCTGGGCTCTGCCGGCCCCGGCCACTTGGCCCGGTTTGCCAATTTTGCTCGGGTTTGTCCCTGGCTTTGTCAAGTTTTTCAGGTTTGGGCGGTTTCCAACATGCAGAGGACAAACTCCCAAGACTGTCTCGTTTCTCAGAATCGTCTGCTCGATCTGCTCGATCTGGCTGAGGTCCAAAAACATCCAGCATTTCGCGTTGCAAGCGAATGTCCAGGTCTTTCGGGGAACTCATACTGGCTGCAGACTGGAGCTCCAAAAGCATTGCCCCATCGACCTCAGCACCATTCACGGCCAAAATCTTATCACCAGGCTTAATGTCTCGAGAGGCACGCCGCTCATTGCTACCTGGCAAACAGATCAGACATATCAAACAACGACTTCAAGCAAACACACCATTGTCGCCGCAGTGCTACGAAGAACCCCAAAAAGATGGTGGGAAAGCCTTTTCGCTTCATCAAGTTATGACCGAGTACTTGATGCTGGTGATAGGGTTCCTATCGAACAGACTGTTTGCAGCTGTCTTGGATGTGTTTGCTACTTTTGAATTTGTTTTGCCTGGATAGAATGTCCCACGTAAGGGACGGCGGCAACCCCTCTCTAAGTCTTCAGAATTCATCCCATTCCATTTCCATATTGATAGTACACTGTTAGAACATCATTGAGCAAACCTTTCAAGACAAACTGACCTGAAGAAAGCAACATGTTTCTATCATAACTTTCCTTCATGTCGTTCTCTAGTTCTGGGAAGATGTCGGTCTGACATGTTCCTGATGTTCCTGATGTTTGTTTTTTGTTTTTCCGTTTGACAATTCGACCTTCAAAATCCCACCTCGATGTGCTCGCTGCACTTCTCGAAAGTTCCACTGTGCGACTGGAGTGAAGTGACCGATCCGCTGGTCCACTTCCGCCACCTCTAAAGGCACCTGACACAGATGACTCAAATGACCGATGAGCGGCGAATCAGCAAATGCCAAGATTCTCAGGTTTCTATAGATGTCTTATATTTCCGTAACGTTCGTTAATATTCCTTAGTGTTTCTTAGATGTACTTAGTGAATGCGTCTTGATACCACAGTCATGGGGTTGTCATATCTCTGAGTGGGCCAGGACTCGGCTATGAATCTGTAAAGTTGTATACACATGTTGGCTTGTGACTTCAGCTATGCATCCACTTGCGTGGCTTAAGGGACATAGGATGGAGAACCTCGCTCAAGGGCTGTGTGCTAGCGAAAACAGTGACCGTTCTTGTGACCCTTCGCCTTGCTTCGGGAACCCCCAGTTTTACAATGGTAGCGGAGCCCGGCTTCGGTTGGGCCACCCCAGTAGTGTTCGGTTGTTTTTGGGGAATCTTTGATTTTTGGGGAATGTCACTGGTTTCCTAGCTAGCAGCCCTTGATCGGGGATGTCTGGCGGCGTTGGTAATGGTGCTGGTGTGGCAGTACCGGCATCTGATAAAGATCAAGATCCACTCGGAGCGAGTGGTGGGGATGAACCGAGTGAAGGTCACATGAATGCAGCAGACATGGCTGCCTTTCGACGCTTCCAGAGGTTTTTGAGGACAGAAGAGGCGACGGGTTCGCCACCGGCACATCGTGGAAGACGACGACGTCGCGACGACGATGAGGACGAAGAGGAGGAAGGGCGTGGCTCTTCAGGACCAAGGCCCACTTGGGATGGGTTTTCGAGCTTTGAGGACTTCCACATCAAGGCGAAGCTCTGGTTGGCGACGACTAAGGTCAAGCCTAAAGCCCGGGGACCCTTGATTCTGTAAGTCGCTCACAGGTGCACCTTTTGAGCACTACAAGCACCTTGCCAAGGATGCAGCATGGTTGGCAGATTCCAGAAATGCAGAACTTCTTCGGGAAGATATGAACCGTCCAGAAAACTATGGTGATGACAGGCAAGAACACCTTCTTACCTCTCTCTCTCGGGTAACCTACCATTTGCGTAGGGGAAAAACCGAGACATGGCGCGAATTCTTCGCGCGGTGGGATACCGCACTGCGGAAGATCTCCGAGCACAAGGTGGTCTTGCCCGAGGATTACCAGGGATTTCTTTTAATCAACGGCTTGCAGCTGTCAGAGGCCGAAACACGGGCCATGTTGGACTTCACTCATGGATGTATTCGACCTACATCGGTGAAGGAATGGTTGCGGAAGAATGAGACAAAACTATCTGCAGCTGAACTTGGTGCTGATCGGAAGAAACCCAATGGAGTGATGCTCACCGAGACGCTGGACGATGGAGATGATCTGGAAGAGAACGAGGTTGACGAGGAGATTAACGAGTTGGAGGCCTATTTGGTGGACTACCAGCAGAACCAGGAGATGGATCCCGAGGAGATTCTCGACGAGAACGAAGCGGCGGAAATCCTGGCGACAGTCCTCCAACAGAAGCGCTCCTACAAGCAGGCTCTGAAACTTCGGAAGGAGAAGGAACTCAGCCGAGGCTATGGAAAGGGTTCCAATGTACCTTTCTCAGGAGGAAAGGGTCGAGGGAAGCACAGTGGCTCCAATCGTTACAATGTCTCCATCGAGGAGGTACGAAAACGAACCAGATGTTGGAACTGCAATCAAGTTGGACATCGAGCTGCTGAATGTGTTCAGCCTGCAAAGCGTGAGAGCAATGACGGGAACAAGGTGAATGCAGCCCATCACTTGGAAAAGTTGGCGGACACGAACGAAGCCTTCTTCGTCGGTAGCCTGACCCTTGAGCCAGACTTGACAACACCTGTAAATAGCCAGGTAGATTTTGCATCTGAGCCCAATAGCTGGCTTCAGGACATTGCACAGTCCGAGATTTGTGAGGATTACAAGGTAGGAAGCAGCATCCAGAGTCAGAGTTTGATGAATGGTTTTTGCGATCATTGTGACGGTTTTGATGGTTTGTTTTTCTTTGAAACTTGGTTTTGTCAATCGGTTGGTAAGTCAAACGGTAAATCTGATGAAACTTGTGGTACGGTGGACACTGGTTGTCAGAGACTTGCAGTGGGGGCCATGACTCTCCGGAAGTATGGAAGACATCTACCTGAACCCCTACAAGTCACTTTGCAACCAGAGATCAACAGATTCAAGAGCGTCCATGGCACATCAACCACACACAGGGTAGCCAATGTTTCCATGCAGTTTGGGAAATAGAGGTACGATTTTACGACCTGCAGTTTTTGAAGGCAAAGCAAGTGAAGAAGCTCCATTGCTATTGTCTTTGTCATTTTTGATGCACTGCAATTGTGAACTAGTTCTTTCTCCACAAGAAGGACTTGCGCTTAGGATGCAGGGGGTTCCAGATCTAGTTCCACTTCACATTGGTCCATCAGGAGCGTTGAGAATTCCATTGCAACAATTTTCATCAGTGATGATCAGCGGGATCAAGAAGCTTCAACAAGATAAACAAAACCAGCATGAGCATGAGTTTGAGATTTTGAACTTGGACGATGCGGCAGAACTCAGTGCTCAGGCCCAAGTTAGAATCACCTCGAGCTCTTCTCCGGTTTCTGAACCTTGCCATGGAACCGGGACTCAAGCGCGCTCGTGGTCAGCCTCCTTCAACGCAGCCCGGCAGAAGCTGATGGCCCTGGTGATCCCATGAACTACTACCTCGAGAACATGATGCAGGCGTCCAACAACAACCGGCGCCTCGTCAAGAAGATGGTCAACAGCCTGAACATGGAGGACTTGATCTTCATGCGCGAGTTGGTGAATGCCCAGATCCACAAGATGCAGTTGGAGTACGACGAGGAGGACAGCGGAAGCTTCTCTCTGGTTCCTTCGACATCGGGGAAACGCCCAGAAAGTCCACCACCGAGCCGCGGCTATCGCCAGAGATCCAGTGCGTCTTCGGCAGCACCTACGGAAGTCAGTGTGACAACACAGAAGAGAGGCGAAGCCAAGGTGGGGGATGTCCATGGCCTGGAGGTGATCTACGGAGACAACCCGTCATGCCATTGTGGTCTGATGGGACGACTTCACCTGGCACAGACGGAGGGTCCGAACTTCGACCGGACTTTCTACCGGTGCCCACGCCCAATCGGGAACCAATGCCGATTCTTCATGTGGACGACACAACAGCCGTTCCACGACGTGACCAGCTGGAAGTACCAGGATCAAGGCCAAGGCAGGACACCTCCTGCAGAAGCTCTTCAGCTGATGGTTCAGGAGAAGTGCACTCATCCCAAAAAGACACGTCAAGGAACAAATGGCCTGGAGGAACGCAAGACCTGCAAGATCTGCCGCAAGATCCTCAAGCAGGAGCCCAAGCACGGAGTCGGGTCCAAGGCCAAGAACAACCAATCCGGGACTTCATCAACGGCATCAGCAGAGGAGATGCTCGAGTTCCAGAAGTTTCTGACGTGGCGCAGGGGAGGCGAGAAGTGAGTGCAGAGGCATTGAGGCCACTGACAGAGCGACAGAGTCGTCAAATCAGGTCGGCCCTGTTGAGAAATCAATTAGTTTTTGGAAACAGATCCAGAACACCCTTTTGAACCTTGGCCAACCAACGGCTGATGTTACCACGACTATAAGGCAGATGAATGAGGAAGTCTGTCAAGAGTTTGCCAAAAGAAGCAAGCATTTTGCTGAGATCATGGGATTGTCGCACAAGCAATTGAGAACTGTGGTTGAAGTTTTTAACCCTGAATGTTTTGGACAACGGACGGACAGACATGGACTGACTGCAGGACGTGCATTTGACATAGTTTTTGGGAGATGATATTTTGCAGAAAGGTACTCAAAAAGAAATCATCAGGTATATCACTTAGGTCAAACCAGGTCTTGTTTTGATTTCACCACCATGCAAGTTGTATTCCCAGTTGCAGAATTTGTCGAAAAACAAACGTGAAACGAAACCTGAGTTGATGCACCAGTTCATTGAAGAACAAGCCAAGGCAAAAAGGTTGTTGAGGTTTGCCATTGAGTTGTGCGAATTATGCAGATCACTGAATCTCAAGTTTGTTTTTGAACATCCATATGCTGCCACCTCATGGCAAGATGCTGCCATGATTCGTTTGTTGAAGCGCGCCGATGTGCATTTTGCCCGCGCTGACCAATGCAGCTTTGGTTTGAGAGGTCCGGAAGGAGGACTACATCAGAAAGCGACTGGATTTCTGACCAATTGTCAGAAGATGGCACAAGTCTTAAGCAGGCGATGTGACAGAAGCCACCAACATGAAGTGATCATCGGGGGTACGAAATCGAAATCTAGAATGGCTCAACAGTACCCGGTGAAACTGATCGATGCGATCTTGAAATGCGATAGTGAACATCTTGGCATTCCGATCCAGATCAAGGAGGCGAACGTCCTTTTGGAGGAGATCTATCACCTGGACTATGTCATCAACGAGCACTTCAAGAAGATGGAGGATCCTGGACAAGTTGGCGGCCCTGAACTTTGTCAACGAGATGAACCTGGACAAGATGAACATCAAGGTGAACTACATGAGATCCTTGCGGGTGCAATGGAAGAACCAGACGAAGAGGATCCGGAACAGAGGGAAGAACCACCCGAAGAAGGACGAGCTTTACCACTAGCCGACAGATTCAGTCTTTCTCGGTTAGTTCGACGGGCACATGAAGGACTAGGACATCCAGACCGAGATCGCTTTTTGAGGATCTTGAAGTACTCCAAGGCCAAAGCCGATGTGCCGGCAGAGGCCAGACGTTTCACTTGCAGTGTCTGTGAAAGACACCAGCAGGTGCGACCAACAAGAAGGAGCGCACCGCCAAGGGAACTGGAGTTCAATGACTGTGTGGGAGTAGACGTGATCTATCTTCCACTACCTGGAGGACAACACAAGACTCGGCCAGCCCTGAACATCATAGACTGGAGTTCGAAATTCCAGTTGATGATCCCTTTGACTGACAAGAAACCACATGTGGTAAGAGAGGCCTATCGACAATGGATCCGGATTTTCGGACCACCAAAAAGAATTGCCTTGAACATGGGGCGTGAATTCCGCCAAGCCTTTACGACCAGTGCAGAGGAAGATGGATCTTTTGTAGAAACTGCAGCTGTTGAAGCACCGAACCAACGAGGGATCACTGAGAGACATGGCAAAACTTTCAAGTTCATGTTGTTGAAAGCCATGGACAACTACAACTGTCAAAACACTCGAGAATGGGAACAGTTGATTGACGAAGTCGTGATGACCAAGAACCGCCTTTTACAGAACAATGGCTTTTCACCAATGCAACGTGTTTTTGGGTTTGCTACCCGAATTCCGGGTGGACTTCTGTCTGGAGATGATGGAAATAGAGCACTGCCTTCAAGAATCAGGATGGGAGATCTCTCAGTAGAAAGAGCGATGAGGACGAGGAAAGCTGCAGCACAGGCATTTGTGGAGGCGGATTCAGCCGCTTCACTACGACGGGCGATTGAGACTGGCCCAAGACCGATGGAGGACTATCAGATTGGAGAGATGGTCTGCTTCTTTCGCAAAGGAGCTGACAAAGCTCGAAAGTTCTCACCAGGTTTTTGGTGTGGACCAGCCAAAATTGTCATGGTAGATCAACCAAGTACGATCTGGGTGGCATATCAGAGTGCTCTGGTCAAAGCGTCGCCGGAGAGAATTCGGCGAGCAAGCGACCTGACAGTTTCAGGATGGCTTAAGGATTTGGTGGACACAAAAGCAGATCCCCGCACTGAGCCCAAGCAGGGATATTTGGATCTGGCAGATCACCCTCTTCCTGAACTACAAGATCGACCGGAGTCTGAGAATGAATACGAACCCTCAGAGCCGATGGAAGATAGCAGCGATCCGACGATACCCAGAAGACCGATTCCACCACACCTGAAGCGACTTCTGGAACATGAGGATCCGCCACCTGAAAGACGGTACTTCACCAAGGCACCACCACCTCTACCTGAACCAGGTCTTGATGATCTACTTGGAGAACCAGAACGGCATTTTGCGGAAGGAGAAGGTGCAACTGAACCTCTTGACAGTCCCGGTCTTCTACCTGCACATGATGCGGACGAAGGCGACCATGGAGGAGGACAAAACGAGATGCAGATGACGATGAAGAGTGGTTATCGACTCCACCGACAAAAAGGTCGAGAATTGAGTACTTGGCCTGCTACTATCAGAAACTGGAGCCGCTGATTGCTGCGAGGCAAAAGAAGGAAGTGAGACTCAACGAGATGACGAAGATCAACCAGACCAAGTTTAGAAAGGCCATTGAGAAGGAGATCCGAAACAATCTCTCGATCGGGGCCTACACGATCTTGTCACAGGAGGAATCAGCCAGGATTAGACAAGAACAACCTGAGAAGGTGATGGAGTCACGTTATGTCCTGACGGCCAAGGAGATTGAGATTGACGAGGTCGAGGAGACGAAAGCTTCAGGACTTCTTCTAGATTGGGAAGGAGAAGAACCATGCAAAGCAAAGGCGAGGCATGTCATGAAGGGCTTTCAGAGACAGGCTCAGAGAACATAGAAACCGCAACACCACAAGTGACGAGAGAAGGAGCCTTGATGGTTGCCCAACTTATAGCCAGTCATCTTTGGAAGATTGGTTTCATGGACTTTACTCAAGCGTTCATGTCGGGTGACAACATTGACAGAGCGTTGTACACCTCGCAGCCTAGAGAAGGAGTACCCGGTATGCAGCCGGGACAACTACTGAAACTCGAGAAGGTCTGCTACGGTCTTGTAGATGGACCCTTTTGTTGGTTCCAACATTTGCGCAAGCTGTTGGTGGATACTCTGGGCTATGAACAGTCACTAGCGGACCCATGCATCTACTACAAGCATATCAAGGCGACAGAGGGACGCCGACTGTCTGGAGTCATTGCAGTGGCGACTGATGACCTTCTACATGGTGGAGATGAACACCACATGAAGTGCATGGAGCAGATCAAGGACACCTACAAGCTGGGCAAGTTCCAGTTTGGTCATGGCAAGTTCACCGGGAAATACTTCCGGCAGAAGGAGAACTTCAGGATCGAGGTCAAGCAGGAGAACTACGTCAAGGACAAGCTGATCAACATCGAGCTGACCAAACAACGGAAACGGCAACGTTACTCCATGTGCGATGAGAAGGAAATCTCAACCCTCCGAGCAAGTGTTGGAGCATTAGCCTGGTTAGCAAAAGAGACGAGACCAGATTTAGCTGGACGAGTGGCACTGCTTCAACAAGCATTTCCACGACCTCGAGTACTTGACCTTTTAGAAGCTAATGCACTCACCTTGGAGGCCAAGCAAACCGCAACGAGTGGCATCGTTTTGATGCCTATCCCAATAGAAAGACTTCGAGTAGGAGTGGCAACCGATGCATCCTGCGGAAACTCTAGAGATCGAGAGCAACTTGAAGATGGAAAAGATGACTTCTGGGAGGAGACTTCCTCTTTCTGGATTTGTCATCATATAAAGCCGAGAAGAACACTTTTTCATCCAGGAGCTGATCTAGGACCAGAACTTCAGACACTACTGCCATCACGAAAAACGATGACAGACGGGGGACAAACCGTAGAAGATTAATGGACCACATCAGAAAGTATCAGAACCTGGGGAGAAGATTCATGGACGGGAAAGACGTTCTTTGCAAAACAACCACCTGGACAGGAACTGGAGCACACCAAGATCAATGATGTCTTCCTCAAGCTCCTCAACACCAGCAGCCAAGGTGGGTACGTGGTGATTTTCTATGACAAACAGTTAGAGACGGAAACTACGCCCCAAATGGTGTCAGTAACCTCCTGGAAGTCCACAAAGCTGAAACGAAAAACTGTTAATACCCTGTCAGCAGAGTGTCAATCCATGATCATGGGCATCGGCAACATTCACTGGCCATCGTTTTCTTCTATTGGAACTACTAGGTCATGACATGAAGGAGCAAGAGTGGGAGAACAAGTTGTCAGAGATCCCCTTCGTGTCGGTCGTAGATTCCAAGTCGCTCTTCGATTGCCTGAATAAGTTGATTTGCACCTATGCCCAGATTGAGCACAAGAGAACAGCAATAGATGTTGCCATACTCAAAGATGACTTACGAAAAACTGGTGGTCATGTCCGTTGGGTTGAAGGTACCAACATGATTTCCGATTGTCTTACCAAACGAATGAAAGGTGATTTCTTCAGAAAAAATTGTAACTCTGGATTCTGGACATTACATGCAGAAGGACATCAAAGGATGTTCCAAGAACACGATGTGCTGATGGTCTCAGTACACAAGCCAATAAAGTAGTGCCGGTGTAAAGTTGTATAGACATGTTGGCTTGTGACTTCAGCTATGCATCCACTTGCGTGGCTTAAGGGACATAGGATGGAGAACCTCGCTCAAGGGCTGTGTGCTAGCGAAAACAGTGACCGTTCTTGTGACCCTTCGCCTTGCTTCGGGAACCCCCAGTTTTACAGAATCAGTATGAAAAGCAATACTACAGCAAGTTCTGTAAGTGCAACTCGCAATGGGGTGAGGCAAGGGTCGTGACAAAGTGTTTTCAACTCCAGCAATGACACAGCAACGTACGAATGATACCAATGGGTAAGCTTACCTCCTGTCACTGAGGTTCTTCCTGGGTGTTCACATCAGAGTCAGAGGTTGAAATCGAAACATATCGAAACAACAAAAGATCTGGTCCCTGGCCCATTCCTTTGTCTCAAGTCCTCAGGAACCAATCTTGGCCTAACTTGCTGCACCGAATATTTCATTGATCAGATTTTCTTGTACCTCTGAGCAACGACAGCAGAAACGCAAGTGTAAGTTATTCTTCTTAGCCAATGGTTCAATGGTAGACAGGAAACACAGAAACTATGACCTGATGCTAGTTATCAGTCTGAGCTGGATGAAAGATCATTAGGGCCATTAGGGTTCAGGTGAAAATAGTTGCCATACAGATTCGACAAAAGACACCACCATCGGACAGCAATGCAAAGGCATTAACATCAAAACAGAGGCATTGAAATACTTGGAGCAAAAAGTCCGCCAGCAATCCGAAACTGAGTATGGTTTTAAAAAAATGGTACCACAGAGTTGATCTGTTGTGTAAGGTTGAAAGTACTAAGGTCCCCATAGTCCTGAATGTCGATCACACATTTACAGTACGGACTTGTACCTTTTCAACTTCCGGGACCATCACTTTCAGAGATGATCTTTTCTTCCAGCCGTTTCCAGCCAATGCAAACATGTCCAAGGCACGCTTTCCTGTGTCCGCCGTAGATGGAGCCCTAATCGACTCATCGGATCGGCTTTGGGCCGCGCACGTGCACCAGGTGCAGACAGCCTCACCCAAGGATCAAACCAGCGCGTCACGAATCCACAAGTAATGCGACATTTACATGATCTACCGATATCTACTGAGCCCTTGTAGAATCCAACAACTTGGGAGCCGAATAGCTGGGGTTGCATGAAGTATGGCAGTTTTACATATTTTTGAAAGTATGATTCCCGTACCAGCAGTACCGCACAAGGCGGTGGCGGAAGTTTCAAAAATAGGAAACCTATAGGAGCGGTTCCTTGTTGTGAATCACACATGGCAGAGCGAAGCCACTGATGGACCGAAAGGTGCTTGAGGTCTCCTCTCTTTCTCTTTCTTTCTCTGACTATCTACCTACCTACCTACTTACCTACCTACCTACCTATCTATGTATCTATCGATCTATCTATCTATCTATCTCTCTCTCTCTCTTTCATCTAATTCCTTATCTATCTATCTATCTATCTGTCTATCTATCTATCTATCTATCTATCTATCTACTACTAATCTAATCTAATCTAATCTTTTTTTTTATCTTAATCTTGTCTATTCTAATCTAATCTAATCTAATCTAATCCTATCCATCTATCTATCTATCTATCTATGCGACAGAGGCTGAGTACGATGTGGCACGGCCAAGGACGTGCTGGTCTGCGCTGTCTGGTCGGGGAAGACCAACTGCTCAAAGATGACCAAAGTGACTGGTCATCGCTGTCCACAGGCTGTAGATGGAAGACATATAGGGCGGGCGCCCGACACATTGCAGCAAGGCCACTGCGGCTGCGGCAATTGTTTCAACTTGGAAAATTCTAGCCTCTGTTTCCTCCAGCTGCATATATGACAAGCCCATGCTAGCGAAAACGCTAAGATTGATGATAGCCGCCGCTTGCATAGACAATGCGGAGGGCCAATTGGCAAAAAGGTGGAAGGAAAAATTCAAATGCTTTGAAAGCAAAACTGCGGGCAGTATCAAGTTTGAAGGTTTGCAACTGGCCGGGTGGGAATTCAGGGCTGGGACAGGCCAGCTGGAAAACCCAAAACTTGAGGAAATACATTCATTTCTTTCACCACTGCAAAACACACTGTGCAAAACAAACGACATGCCTGACATCCTGACTGCAACTTCATTTCATGTTTGTTGTTTCACAAAAACTATTCAACATCCAAGGTTTCGGCCAAGAATACTTTTTAGGCGTAACAAGTTTTTGTGCTCCTTTGTTTTCAGCACGGCGCAGGTTTATATGTTTCACAAGGCATGGATAGCTACACGTACACACGCCAAGTGCGCAGCAAGAAACAATGCGCTGTTTAGCGGAAGTAGTTTCTGGTCAGGTTGCGATCACCCTTTCCATCATCAGAGAGCAAAGGCACAGGGTGTGAGGAAGCAGGAAGTTGGAGTGGCTAATTTTTTGGGGGGACAAGAATTTCTGTTCAGAAAATTTAAAGCGCTATCAACTGCGTTGGCTGCTAGCATCTATCTGTCTATCTGCAAGCTTGAAAACGAAGCTATTCTGCGAGACTTCCTCAGTTTTTGAACTTGACAACATCAAGAACGCAGCAATTCAGCCAGACTTACTCAATTTTTGCACTTGACAACACCAAAAACGAAGCAATTCTGCGAGACTTCCTCATTTTTTAAGTTGACAACATCAAAAACTTCCTCATTTTTTAAAGTTGACAACATCAAAAACGAAGCAATTCGGCGAGATTTCCTTCGAAAATGGAAAGTTGAGTGCAGAGCTGACGGCCTCGTACAAATGCGTGTTGCGATTTTTCGACTCCACCTGTCTAAACTACTGTGCCTGCCACGACAAGTGATACTGGATCGTACGAAATGCTGCACCTGTCACGCAAAATCATCTCAGCAAACCTGAAGATCTGATGCTCCAAAATGCAACCCCTCTCAGGAAATCAGCACCCGGACCTCCTAACAGCTCTGATGAACATGTCTCCTGCACTGCGCCTGCCACGGAAAATGCGTCTTTGCAGATCCTCTTCAAGTGTCCCACGCCTGCCATCGTTTTTTTGAAATGCGACAAAACCCTCACGTTTTGCTCACTTTTGACAAGGTGCACAATCCCGTGCGCCTGCCACGCGAAACGACATCTGAACGTCGCTTCGCGCCACAACGGCGTGCACTTTCTCAACATCTCAACTTCCAAAAGTGGTCCGGAGTTGGTGTGCTTTGTACGTTTTGACTTCGAAATGTGCTTCGCGCCACAACGGCTTGCGCTTTTTCGACATCTCAACTTCTAAAAGTGGTCCGGAGCTGGTGTGCTTTGTGCATTTTGACTTCGACATGTGCTTCGCGCCACAACTGCGTGCACTTTCTCAACATCTCAACTTCCAAAAGTGCTCCGAATGTGAGGTGCTTTTAGCTTTTTCACCTGCAAATGTGCTTCGCGCCACAACGGCGTGCAATTTTTCATCTCTCATCTGGCCAGCTGGCTCCGCGCCCGCCGCTTCAGCGAGCCTACTTTTCGACCCTCCGGAGCCACAAATCATTGGAAAAACACAGTGCCTGGCGACTTTCCTACCTTTTCGCGCACCTGGATCTTCTTCTTTTGTGATCTTCTTCTTCTCTTCTCTTCTCTGACTCGGCCCATCTGCCCATATTGTCCGAAGTTTGACTTCTAAACTTCCTTCGCTGACTAAGAATAACCGAGAACTTTCCTGTAATTATTGCAAATCCTTGATTGGATGAAGGAATGAGGCCCAGTCCGGCTATGCAAACAAAGCCTTTGCTCAAGCACCCTGCAGAATCCCTGCGATCGATTTCGATCTCATGAGTCTTGAGGGCAATCAAGTTCTTAGAGGCAACATTTCAGTCCACACAACGTGCCTGACTTCGAAAGAAAGTGTTGTGGTTCGCACATCACCACGAGCTCTGAGCAGTTCAGCTTGGGAGGACCCCCTTCCTCGATCTCCTCGATCTCTTCCTCTATCTCTTCCCATCAGGCTGAAACCCTTTGCCCTTCGCCAAGGCCGAGGCTAAAAATGCTGCGGCATGGAAATGTTGCGGAGCTCCATGAGCCAAGCAAGGGAAAAAATATGGGCAACAAGTCTGAACAAGTCTGAACAAGTCTGAACAAGTCTGAACAAGCCCGTCATGACAACAAATGACCTGTGCAAACCATCAACAAACGTTTTTTCCCCACATCCAAGAGTTCAAAAGTAATCAAGGGTCACATGTTATACTAGTGGCGCTGATCTGTTCAATTAACATTGAGCCATTTCGAAAAAACCGTGAGTCAAAGAAGCTGAACTTGGCACTTGGCTTGAGAGTTACTTCCAATAGCGCTACTCTTAAATTTACTAGAGAAGAACCGCCATCCGGATTACTTACATTACGGATGCCAGAGCCCACAGTGGATCCCACAAACTATTGAAATCAGAGTAGGCCCATGATTTTGCGACAGAACATACCTGAGTTCTACCAGGTTAGATTTGCGATGGATCCTACTTTGTCCAACATTAGTTTGCGATGGATCCTACTTTGTCCAACATTAGTTTGCGATGGGACCTACCCAAATCCATCTCAAAATGATGCCAAATGCCAAATCTAACTATGGCCATGGTATGTGCTAGCAAGGTTTAACATGATTTGTCTCAAAACTCTAGGGTTTTGAGTGTTAGGCAACAGTTTTGGTTAGAGATGGATTTGGGTAGGCCCCATCTCAAACACAGCCTGCCAGTCCTTTTCAGACACATGTCCACTACCAATACCCCTAATACTGGCAGGCTGTGTTTGAGATGGGGCCTACCCAAATCCATCTCTAACCAAAACTGTTGCCTAACACTCAAAACCCTAGAGTTTTGAGACAAATCATGTTAAACCTTGCTAGCACATACCATGGCCATAGTTAGATTTGGCATCATTTTGAGATGGATTTGGGTAGGTCCCATCGCAAACTAATGTTGGACAAAGTAGGATCCGTCGCAAAAAGTATTTGGACAAAGTAGGATCCATCGCAAATCTAACCTGGTAGAACTCAGGTATGTTCTGTCGCAAAATCATGGGCCTACTCTGATTTCAATAGTTTGTGGGATCCACTGTGGGCTCTGGCATCCGTAATGTAAGTAATCCGGATGGCGGTTCTTCTCTAGTAAATTTAAGAGTAGCGCTATTGGAAGTAACTCTCAAGCCAAGTGCCAAGTTCAGCTTCTTTGACTCACGGTTTTTTCGAAATGGCTCAATGTTAATTGAACAGATCAGCGCCACTAGTATAACATGTGACCCTTGATTACTTTTGAACTCTTGGATGTGGGGAAAAAACGTTAACATCAAAACAAGTCAATGCCTATGTGGACATGTACAGTCAAGAAACTGAGAGAGTAATAGAAGGATTTGAATAAGCCCACGTGGCATCCCCAACCGCCGAGCAGTGTGTACCTGTCAAATTTCAACTGTGTCGACGGGCGGCCCATCCCAGAACGTACACCGGAACCTGCGGAACCACCACACTAGAACCTCCGGAATCGAAAATAAAACCGAAAACAAAAGCAGAGAAACGGGGCATCAGAAGGATTTTACGTCATAAGGACTTTATGATGCTGTCTTTTGCGCTCCAAGTTCGCGCCCCCCAAAGCATCGCAAAGCCCGTCAAAGCCTACATTTAGGCCATTTTGGGGCACCATGAAGCCTCCAAAGTTGCATCATGAGGGTCCATAAGGATTCAAAAGGGTTCATAAGGATTATGCGGAGTTGTGTGGCTTGTGTGGGTCCGTTCTTTGTGCAGGCCAGGGTGCCTCGGAAAGCCTGGAACGACCCCACAACCCTCCCGGAACCTCCCCAGAACCGGAAGCCAGGCCGAAACATGCAAGTTGCACAGTTGCACCTGTTCCTTGTTGTTTCGTGCCAAAAAAAAGCTTCGGTGGTATCCCCAACAGAAGCAGTAATGTATTTTCACATTTTTTTTCATCCGAAATTTGCTGGAACTTGACCTAAAGGCTGCGCCGACACAATCCCGGAATCGCACCAGAACCTACTTGAAGCCTCGTTGAACCTGGCCGCACCAAGACCTTCCGGAACCTTCTCCAGAACCTTCTCCGGAACCTCGCTTAACCTGCCCCGGCTCTCCACCAAAGCCTTCCGGAACCTTCTCCGGAACGTTGATCCTAGCCCGGCTCTGCACCAAAGCCTTCCGGAAACCTTCTCCGGAACCTCGTTGAACCTGGCCCGGCTCTCCACTAAAGCCTTCCGGAACCTTTTCCGAAACCTCGTCCTGACCTGGCTCTGCACCAAATCTCCGGAACCTTCTCTGCAGAGTCTCCCAGACCTTCTCCAGAACCTTCTCTGGAACCCTGTTGAACCTGAGCTGGCTCTGCACCACAGCCTCCCAGACCTTCTCCGCAACCTTCTCCGGAACCTTCTCTCGAACCCTGTTGAACCTGACGTGGCTCTGCACCAAAGCTTGGGCCAAGTGGCAACAGTGGCTATCAGAGTATTTGGACAGATCGGAGGATCGGAGGACCAGGTCGAGCGGGAGAACAAGTTGCTGGGGCTTCTCCAGAACCTTCTTCGGAACCTTCTCTGGAACCCTGTTGATCCTGACCTGGCCAGACCTTCTCCGAAACCTTCTCCTGACGTAACTCTGCGCGAAAGTCTCACAGACCTTCTCCGGAACCTTCTCTGGAACCTTCTCCGCTCCGGAACCTTCTCTCCGAAACCCTGTTGAACCTGACCCCAAACTCTCCCAGGCCTTCTCCGGAACCTTCTCCGGAACCTTCTCCGGAACCCCGTTGAATTGACCCGGCGCCTGCACCAGTGCAAACTGGGGCTATTCTGGGCTGAAGACCCCATTAGCTTACGTTGTTGGGGAATGATGCACCGAAGCTGAAAGCACAAGCAAAAACAAGTTTCCGCGGTATCCCCAACAGCCGCAACGTTTTATTTTTACAACCCTGTCTGAAAACGTGCTGCGAAGCCAAGCGCTGAAAACACCTCAGCTGGGTTTCTGTGAGTTAAATGGCCGTAAATCCTGTTGAACCTGACCTGGCTCTGAACCAAAGCCTCCCACACCTTCTCCGGAACCTTCTCCCGACCCTGTTGAACCTCACCTGAAACCGGAACCCTGTTGAACCTAACCTGGCTCTGCACCAAAGCCTCCCACACCTTCTCCGGAACCTGACCTGGCCCTGTTGAGCCTGAGGTGCCTCTGCACCGAAGGCCTCCCAGACCTTCTCCGGGTCTTCTCCGAACCCTGTTGAACCTGACCTGGCTCTGCACCAAAACCTCCCCGACCTTCTCCGGAACCTTCTCCGGAACCCTGTTGAACCCGACTTGGCTTTGCACCAGCCTCCCTCCGGAACCTTCTCCGGAACCCTGTTGAACCTGACCTGTCTCTGCACCAAAGCCTCCCAGACCTTCTCCGGAACGTTGCACGAGTGCACACTGGAGCTATTTTGGTCTGAAGACCCCATTAGCGTACGTTGTTCGGGAAAAAAGACCAGGCACAGAAGAGCATGTTGTTAACGGCCTACGAAAGACATCCCAAACATTTTCTATCACAACGGCCTTATCAATTGTCCTTTCTTGGGAGGCCCCATAGAGGATAGTCATTGCAAAGGGTATGAATCAAGGTCAAAGCCAGCATAAATCTATGCCACCACTCGAGGTGATGGTATGTCCACTGGTTGCATTTCAACAAAGGACTGCCTTGCGAAATTCTTCCAGATAAATGCCATATACTTTCACATCATGTGTATAATGTGTAGGTATGCATATATATATATATACACATGTAAATATATATATATATGTGTGTAAATATATATATATGTATATATATATATATATGTATATGTATATGATGTGATAATATTATATTATCATATATGCAACTATAATATATATATATATATAGTGTAATATTTTTGGACCGAACAGATACTGTGTGCCTTGTCCCGTTGCTATGCCCAGCTGAACCACTCACCATGCTCTGCCAGGTGACCAAAGGGCATCCTTCAACGTTAGTTCGAAGGACACGCGTTCGTTGGCACTGACGCAACAGTTCACACTGAGACCGGCTGCGATAAGGGCCAACACAACATTGGTTCGGATCCACAGTGTCAACATGCGTCGACAAGAAACCCCTTTTGGAATTTTGGACCCATTAAAGTGTGCTGTTTCCAGGCGGGAGTTTAGTCGGCGTGGAATTAAGTAAAACGAATGCAATTAACCACGATGACATACACTGACCAACCGACCAATTTGCCCACAAGACAGAGATTTGCACCTGGCAGAGCGACCGGCAAGAACTTCCAGACCGCTTGGGGACAGGAACCGATCCACATCCTGTTTCGCTCTGGGCATTGACATTTGGTTGGAGTCTGTTCACTGTTGAATATACAGCTGAATATGTTTAGACGATTAGCTTTACGGTGGCCTTACACTCTTTTTGCTCATACGGCTGTTGTCCTTATCGGCACAATCATCATGCTCATGTCTTGGCACATCTCAACTTCAGCTCTGCACTTCCCTGATGGCATCAAAACTTGCTGAAGAGAAACCCAAGCGGCTAACCCCGAGTATGTCCTTGCCATATTTTCGTTTCCACTTCATTTCCTTGGATTCTTCAACCTGTCCAAGGCACTCACCAACTATATACCGATATTCCTGTTCGATTTGTACCCCTTAACTTTTTGCTATCGAAATCGTTAGCTAGCGGCACAAAATCAAACAGTGTCCATTTCTTGCAAGGGGCGCGTGTGATCCTCAGCAGGAAGACGGGACTGTGAATCCTAGAAGTGATTCGGCCACGAAGACTTGACACGAACTGATTGTAGCCGCCACCCATCCAATACACGGCCAAGTTGTTTTGTGTGCGTGGGTGGTGTGGGGCGGGGTGCGTTGTGGGGTGAGGTGGGGTACACAATAACATTCACTTCAACTTGCAGACCCACCGGATGCTCCCCTGCTAATCTCTAGACATCGGGAGTGGGGTGGACTGGGGCGGGGTGAGCGCAGTGAAGCTTCCAGAGGCACTTAAGATGGTTGCTATGCCGGAGATGCACAGGGACAATAAATCAATATATTATGTTTATATATACATATATATATATACATATGTAAATACATATGTAAATATATATTTACATCTATGTATATATACATGTGTAAATATATATATATATGTGTGTATTTACATCTGTGTATGCATACATGTATATATATATATATGTATGTATGTATGTATGTATGTGTATACATAAATGTACAGATATATATATTTATATATATATATATGCATGTACATATGTGTATATATATATATAAATACAAATATTCACACATACATATATATGGATTTTTATGTATATATACACAGATATATATTCATAGATCTCTATATATATACACATTTGTATGTATATAAAACGATATATATATATATATAAGTATATGTATATGTATATTTATGTATATATGCACTTGTTTATATGTAAATATGTATGTGTATTGAAATATGTGTATATATTTATGTATATGTAAATGTAAATATTCATGTTATCTGTAGATATATATATATATATACATATACATACATAAATGTATATCTATATATATATATGTACAGCATATGTATCTGTACAGTATTTATTGCAATTGGCAAAGCAATTGGTGCAGGCCCCTACTGCAGCTGCTCGTTCAATAACCCAAACTGTCCACCTTCAAGGATCCCTCTCCTCTGCTCCAAGCGGCTTGCCGCTTTGCTTTCACCGGCCAGCAAGGTATGCACAGATCAGCAGTTAGATACCACGGGAACTTCTGGGACGGCCACGTCCCCCTGGCCAATCTATCATTTGAGGGATGTCCCAGGTTCCTGTGCATTCTGCGTATTGCCTGTTGCTCCCTCTTGGGAAGACTTCTGAACCTGAAGCTTTGTTGGCCAACCTTCGGGTCGGTGATCGGATCTGTCGGCCCCGATGGAGTTGTAGTGGTGTCTCCATCGGTTGGTGAGGTACAAGGCTGGTCAGCACGGTGATCTGGGCACGTGTCCTGGCTGATTGAAGACTTTGTCTCAGGTGACAAGTCGGGCACCGGTGCAACATTATCGACTTGGTTCAAAAGCAGGTTCGCCCTGTCCGGTGAATCTTCGTTTCCCGTTTCTTGGGCAACCCTCGGCACGTTCGCAAATTCTGCGGGCAGCATTTGAGGAGGTGATTCTCCGGCAGTGGTTTCACTTGACCTAGACTGTGAGCTCTTGTCTTTGGCAAACACGGTGATGTTTATCCTACAAGCATGTGACAGTCTTACTGTCTCTTAGCCAGATCAGTCCATGCTTCCCGGTGCTTTTCGTATTGCACATCACCATTTCTGCAGAGAATCAACATTGCGGCGGTGGGGCCATGGTTCTTTCTCTTCCCCTACAGACTACTGCTCTGCAAACAGTCTTATCAGGAAACAACATTTGGAGCTGACCAAGGATGGACATGACTGCTACCAGCCCTATCTTGGCCCTTTTGTCCTTCTGTCTCCTCAAGGCGCGTTCATGTTCCAACTGCTCGTCCTGCTGTACTTTGGTGAGGATGGCATACAATGCCGTTACCGTCCAACGCAGCCTGGGCACTATGGCTGCGACCCCAGCCAACTTGCCCAGGAACATTCGCAGTTCCCTTGTCGAGATCATGCCCTTGCCAGACCATGTCTCGAGCATTTCGCATATCTCTTCCACCATCTTCCTCGGTGTGCCCAGCAAAACCTTGTCCGGGAAGAGTTCGAATTCCGTTCCAATCCATACAACTCTCTTTCCCCTCTCTCCCTTTTCCATGGACAACTGCACACCAAAGGCCGACAGAACATAGATGACCTTGGCAAGTTGGAGGTCTCTCCATTCCTTCGTTCCCCGCAGCATCAGTGCCACGTCGTCGATGTAGACCTGAGTCTGTCCAGCCGCCGGGTGGAAGAGCGAATGCACCAATCTTCCGATCGCCGCCAACAGCCGCCCCATCACCAGTGGTGCTCCTCTGAAGCCGAATAGCATTGCCACCCACACTATCCCGGTTCCATTTTCCAGTCCGGGACTGATGCATTGCAATGCTGCAACTCCTCTGGGTGAACTCCGAAGTGGCAAAAGGCGTCCTTCAAGTCCAACATGATGAACTCTACCTCGGCCTCGGCGTAGCTCGTGGAGCTCTTGAGTACGGAGCGCTTCACCTCGTGGCCCACCAACTCGTGTTCTCTAGCTCGCATGACTCTCAAGCTCGCCACAATGTCTTGGGACCGTGGCAGGACGATTCTCTCCTCTATCTTCGCACGCTCGTTTCCTTGCGAAGGACGCATGTCAATCACTATTCTTCGCTTCGTGCTGCCGTCGGCCTTTTGCTTGAGTATTAAGGCCAACTTGGACGCCGTGCCTTGTGGGAACCTGGTGTGAACCTCTTCCAACGGTAGCACCTTGCAGAAGCCCTTTTTGACATACCTGTCAATCTCAATGGCGGCCTCTTCGAGCTGTGACTCAGCCAAATCGTAGTTGCGGAGTGATCGCAGGATCGCCATGTCAGTCTTTGTCTCCAGCGGGTCCTCAGCTTCTACTTTGGGGAAGATGCCAGAGCACTGTTCTGCTCAGCTCCATGCACAAAGGCACACCCTCCCTTGCCCACTGTCCTATGAATTGCTCCGGTCTGCATCTCTATGAGATGGGGACAAACAAATTCTACACTTGTGGATCCGTTTCACGGGCCCCTTGCACTCACCACCAGGCGCCACCTCAGAGCAGCGGCCTTTCCCCGATGACCAGCTGAAGCATAGCTCTAGCCCAGCTTAGTCTTTCGATTTCCCTTTTCCTTACCATTAGGGCCTCCTATGACCCTTTGCCGCTGCCACTTGCGGTCGTGGATCTATGTCGCGCCAACTCCTCTCTGTCGGCAGCCCATCTCCTTTTTCTAGCCTGCCTCCTGTCTCGGTTGGCTTGCGTCTTCCTAGACTCGGCCTGGGGCCCTGGTGTCTCATGCTCCGTACTCAGGGCCTTCTGAATCACCTCCAAGACCGCTGCCTCAGCTGCCACCGTCGGAGCACCTCTTCCACCAGCTGCAGTCCACGCAGCAGCTGGATGGTGGACACGTTCGGCCCAGAATTCCATATCTGCCGCCAACTGCATGAACACACAAGACCATGGCCTGGCAGGATCCCAGTCTCGAGGAATCTGCCTGTTTTGAGCCGCTTCTATCGTCAGCTTCCTTCTAGTCTTCTCTAACCGTTCCGCTCGAGCCGAATCATCGGCTGTGTAGATCAGCCCCCAACAACGAGGCCATTGAGTCACCAACTTCTCAACCTGCTTGGCGTATGCCTCGAGTGAAGCCACGGCGCACACATTCAGCATCAGGCAGGCCACCTTAAATACGTGCCATGATCATACATGATGCTTTCCATGAGCTATGAGTCCCTGGCCCAGGAAGATCTTTCTGAAGCTTTGACCCATCTCCAAGTGGTATGAAGGTCCTACACTGTCCTACACTTCTGAATTCGGCGCATCCTCCTCTCAAATGGGGTCCACACCGAAAAGTCACAGTAGGGCGCCCTGTTCTCCACATAGACCTTCTTGTGGAGAGCTGCAAGCTGAGAAGCAGTAGGTTCTTCAGCTTCATCTGGTGGAGCCCCCATAGTCACTATAAAGTTCTGGTACCACTTGTCCACCTCTGAAACATCCGGTGGGAGAAGCTCTGACTCGTCTTGCTGGTCGATCACCCCACTCGATGTCCTAGATGCAGTCACAGGACAAACTGTACCTCCTCTTTCGGTCTCAATCTCTCGCGAAGGGCCCACGTCCTTGAAGTCTGCCTCGCTGATCCCTGACTTAGCTGCTATCGCTCGTCTGGCTAGTCGCCAAAACAAGCCCCACCTGAGTCGCCTAAATCGGCGACTAAGGTCCTGCCGCCGTCACTGCGCTGCCACATCCAGCCACCAAGCGCAGCCAGGAGCCTGAGGTCGGCCCCAGGGCTACCGATCTGCACCTCAAATTTTCTCCAAACCGTCTCATCCACATTGAAACGGTCCAGCAAATCATCGATGCTGGATAAGTCCTGCATGGACTCCCAGCTCCCAAACAATGCGGCCATTGCGACTCGCGACCAGCTACCTTGTCGATTTGTGCGGGTCATCCTTAACCAACTTGAGCCAAAATTGGCACAGGTTCTGAGCCCCACCCTCCACCCCAAGTGGTGTCGACATCTCTTGTTAGTCTGCATTGCATGCTTCTCATTGAATTACATTACATTCGTTACATTACATTACATTACACTACATTACACTACATTGCATCACATGACATGACATGACATGACATACATACATACATACATACATGCATCCAATCCATACCTACCATACCATACCACACCATACCATGCCATACCATACCATCCCATCCCATACCATACCATACCAAAAACAAGGGGGGGCCTGAGAACCCAAAAGCAAAACGACAGCAAACAAATTTGAGTAATACTGATAATTGGTTTATTTCTTTTTCGCCTCTTGCCAGCTTCTTTTTAGAAGATAAACATTATGGACGCATTCACTGCAAATTTCATTTTTCCCCACCTGCCAGGTGAGGGGTTGTTAGATCTTATCAGAGTTGTTCTCCTCGGCTAGCTGTCCTCCTCGTCCTCGTCCTCCTCCTCCTCGTCCTCCGCCTTCTCCTCCTCCTCCTCTGCCTCCTCCTCCAGTTTCTCCTCGATCATGTCTGCATCAACTTCCACCTCAACTTCCGCCTTGCCAACTCTTCGCCAAGCTCTTTGCCAACTTCCCAGCTCAGTGTGCACCGCTGGACCTCAACCTAGGACCTTCCCAGCTCAGTGTGCACTGCTGGACCTCAACGGCCAGATAGAATACCAGAAGATATGCCAGATAGAGTGTTAGAAGATATGTCAGATAGAATGCCAGAAGATATGCCAGAACATATTGCAGAAGATATGCCAGGTAGAATGCCAGAAGATATGCCAGATAGAGTGTTAGAAGATATGTCAGATAGAATGCTAGAAGATATGCCAGAACATATTGCAGAAGATATGCCAGATAGAGTGTTAGAAGATATGCCAGAAGATATGCCAGGTAGAATGCCAGAAGATATGCTAGATAAAATGCCAGAAGATATGTGAGATAGAATGCCAGAAGATTTGCCAGTAACAAAACGTATAAAAATGTCATGGTGGGGATAACTCGAAGTAAAGTAATTTCAGCTCTGCGCGGAAACATTGTGACAGTGTGCAATAGCCAAGCAAGCTCATTTGAGCACGGTCATGCGACGGCGGCTGATTTCCAAATCAACCTCTCCTTTCCTTTCCCTTCCTTTCCCATCCTTTCCCTTCCTTTCCCTTCCTTTCCCTTCCTTTCCCTTCCTTTCCCTTCCTTTCCCAATCTTTCCCTTTCTTTCCGTTCCTTTCCCGTCCTTTCCATTCCTTTCCCTTCCTTTCCCTTCCTGTCCCTTCCGTTCCCTTTCTTTCCCGAATGCGTAGCAAGGGTTCCCGTTGACCACACTCCTCACTCCACACTTTACACTCCACACTACACACTCTACACTTTCCACTCCACACTTCACACTCTGCACTTTCCACTCCACACTCCACACTCTTCACTTTACACTCCATACTGTACACTTTACATTTTTCACTCCACACTTTACATTTTACACTCCTCACTCCACTCTTTACACTCCACACTTCCCACTTTACACTCCACACTCTACACTTTACACTCCACACTTTACACTCCTCACTTTACGCTCCACACTCCACACTCTACAGTTTCCACTCCACACTCTAGACTCTACACTTTACACTCCACACTCCTCACTCCTCACTCCGCACTGTATACTTTACACTCCACAGTTTACAATTTGCACTTTACACTCCTCACTCCACTCTTTACACTCCACACTCCACACTTCCCACTTTACACTCCACACTCTACACTTTACACTCCACACTTTACACTCCACACTCCTCACTTTACGCTCCACACTCCATACTCTACAGTTTCCACTCCACACTCTAGACTCTACACTTTACACTCCACACTCCTCACTCCTCACTCCACACTGTATACTTTACACTCCACAGTTTACAATTTGCACTTTACACTCCTCACTCCACACTTTACACTCCACACTTTACACTCCACACTCCACACTCTACACTTTACACTCTACACTTTACACTCTACACTCCACACTTTACACTCCACGCTTTCCTCTCCACGCTTTACACTCCACACTTTACACTCCACACTTCCCACTTTACACTCCACACTCTACACTTTACACTCCATACTCCACACTTTACACTCCGCACTCCGCGCTGTCCACTTCACACTTCAGACTGGTAACAGGGGAAATATGTATATACAAGACTGTTCAAATAAACTATTGCAGAAAATTGTTCTGAGTGACTGCATATCCATTAACATACGTGTGAGCATTCGGGTTCGTGGGCTGCATCTTGTTCTTCTCCCCACCCATTTCCAGCCACTCCCTTGCACCCACGCCGTCCGCAGCCGTCCGCGCAATTCTCCGCACCCATTTCCCGTCCGCAGCCGTCCGCGCAGCCAAGCTCGCTCATCAACAGCGCGATCCACACCCATTTCCAGCAACTCACACCGTCCGCGGCCGTCCGCGCAATTCTTCGCACCCATATCCCGTCCGCAACCGTCTGCGCAGCCAAGCTCGCTCATCACCAGCGGCTTCTTCTCCCCACCCATTTCCAGCCACTCCCTTGCACCCACGCCGTCCGCAGCCGTCCGCGCAATTCTCCGCATCCATTTCCCGTCCGAAACCGTGCGCGCAGCCAAGATCGCTCATCACCAGCGGTTTCTTCTCCTACCTACCCATTTCCAGTCACTCCCATGCACTCAGGCCGTCCGCAGCCGTCCGAGCAATTCTCAGCACCCATTTCCCATCCGCAGCCGCTGTCCGCAGCCGTCCGCGCGCCAAGCTCGCTAATCACCAGCGGCTTCTTCGCCCCACCCATTTCCAGCCAGCTCGCTCATCACCAGCGGCTTCTTCTCCACAACCAGTTCCAGCCACTCCCTTGCACCCACGCCGTCCGCAGCCGTCCGCGCAATGCTCCCCCATCCATTTGCCGTCGGCAGCCATCCGCGCAGCCAAGCTCGCTCATCCCTCTCCCCAACCATTTCCAGCCACTCCCTTGCACCCATGCTGTCCGCAGCCGTCCGCGCAATGCTCCGCACCCATTTCCCGTCCGCAGCCGTCCGCGCAGCCAAGCTCGCTCATCCCCAGCAGCTTCTTCTCCCCACCCATTTCCAGGCACTCCCTTGCACCCACGCCGTCCGCAGCCGTCCGCGCAATTCTCCCCACCCATTTGCTGTCCGCAGCCGCCCGCGCAGCCAGGCTCGCTCATCACCAGCGGCTTCTTCTCCCCACCCATTTCCAGCCACTCCTTCGCACCCACGCCGTTTGCAGCCGTCCGCGCAATTCTCCGCACCCATTTCCTGTCCCCAGCCGTCCGCGCAGCCAAGCTCGCTCATCACCAGCGCCTTCTTCTCCCATTTCAAGCCACTCCCTTGCACCCACGCCGTCCGCAGCCGTCCGCGCAATTCTCCGCACCCATTTCCCGTCCACAACCGTCCGCGCAGGCAAAGCTCGCTTCATCACCAGCGCTGCTTCTCCCACCCATTTTCCAGCCCCCCCCTTCACCCACGGGCGGCGGTCGGCAGCCGGCCCCGGCGCGCCAGTTCTCCTGCCCGTTCCCGTCCGCAGCCGTCCGCGCAGCCAAGCTCGCTCATCACCAGCGGCTGCTTCTCCCCACGCATTTCCAGCCACTCCCTCGCACCCACGCCGTCCGCAGCCGTCCGCGCAATTCTCCGCACCCATTTGCCGTCCGCAGCCGTCCGCGCAATTCTCCCAACCCATTTGCTTCAGCAGCCGTCCGCGCAGCCAAGCCCGCTCATCATCAGCGGCTTCTCCTCCCCACCCATTTCCAACCACTCAGTTGCACCGTCCGCAGCCGTCCGCGCAGCCAAGCTCGCTCATCACTAGCGGCTTACTCCCCCACCCATTTCCAACCACTTCCTTGCACCCACGCCGTCCGCAGCCGTCCACGCCATTCTCCGCACCCATTTCCCGTCCGCAGCCGTCCGCGCAGCCAAGCTCACTCATCACCAGCGGCTTCTTCTCCCAACCCATTCCAGCCACTCCCTTGCACCCACGCCGTCCGCAACCGTCCGCGCACTTCTCCGCACCCCCATTGCCCGTCCGCAGCCGTCCGCGCAGCCAAGCTCGCTCATCACCAGCGGCTTCTTCTCTCCACCCATTTCCAGCCACTCCGTTGCACCCACGCCGTCCGCAGCCTTCCGCGCAGTTCTCCGCACCCATTTCCCGTCCGCAGCCGTCCGCGCAGCCGAGCTCGCTCATCACCAGCGGCTTCTTCTCCCCACCCATTTCCAGCCACTCCGTTGCACCCACGCCGTCCGCAGCCGTCCACGCAGTTCTCCGCACCCATTTGCCGTCCGCAGCCGTCCGCGCAGCCAAGCTCGCTCATCACCAGCGGCTTCTTCTCCCCACCCATTTCCAGCCACTCCCTTGCACCCACGCCGTCCGCCGTCCACGCCATTCTCCCCACCCATTTGCCGTCCGCAGCCGTCCGCACAGCCAAGCTCGCTCATTGCGGCTTCTTCTCCCCCACCCCACTTCCCCACTCCCCCTGCACCCCGGCGTCCGCATGCCGTCCACGCACTTGTGTGGCCCCTCCGCACCACCCGCCAAGCTCGCTCATCACCAGCGCTTCTTCTCATTTCCCGCCACTCCGTTGCACCCTTCCGCCGTCCGCAGCCGTCCGCACAGTCTTCCGCACCCATTGGCCTTCCGCAGCCGGCCGCGCAGCCAAAGCTCGCTCATCACCAGCGCTTTCTTCTCCCCACCCATTTCCAGCCACTCCATTGCACCCGCGCCATCCGCAGCCGTCCACGCCATTCTCCCCATCCATTTGCCGTCCGCAGCCGTCCGCGCAGCCAAGCTCGCTCATCACCAGCCGCTTCTTCTCCCCACCCATTTCCAGCTACTCCCTTGCACCCACGCCGTCCGCAACCGTCTGCGCACTTCTCC